ACAGGGTTCTACCCGGTTTCCTGCACAGTCAATTATTCAAATCAGATGCTTCAGAAATCAATCATGTGGAACAAAATAAATCAGCCTTAGTGTAGGAACTCGCGACGCTCGCTGGGGGCTCCGCCCTCAGACCCCCGCATGTGTGGGGCGCGTACCGAAGTATTTTTAGTAAGTCCGTGGTGACTAGAGACAAATTTTCTAAGGAAGTAAATGCACTGCTATTTTGAAAGGTCTATTTAACAGCTTTTGACCATATATTTAAGCTGCTTTTACTGCCCAAATAGAAAGCTTGTATTGCATTGGCTACTGTGGCAGTCAATGCGTGCATACAAGGTCCGGAAAACGTTGAAGACTGCTTTGACAAGGATAGAGGTGAATGGAAAAAACCGCAAGTCTCTACGACCACTCCTTGACCCCAAACATTTCTATGAGTGAGTCAGTGAGTCAGTCAGTCGGAATGGGGCTTTATAGGTTCTTGATGATGATTGATGATTGATATTTTGAGGATGTTGCCGGTGACGGGGACCCGATTGAGGCACAGTTTCGGAAATGTCTCCACCAAACCTACCGATAGGGCGAATAAAAATTTTCAGTCGGTCGGTCCCCTTTTTTGAAGATTGAGTAGGTTTGCTCGGAAACGGTGAAGAATTTTCAACTTTTGGGATTTATCCCAATTTTTCCATAAAATCTGGAATCGAATGGAAAAAACCGCAAGTCTCTACGACCACTCCTTGACCCCTAACATTTCTATGAGTGAGTGAGTCAATGAGTCAGTCAGTCGGAATGGGGCTATACAGGTTCTTGACTATATTTTTTTTTACAGTGTAACTGTTGCTCTCCCGAAACCAGTATTCCTCCTTTCAGAGGAAACAATTCAACGACTTATCAAAAGAGCAAACAGTAAAAAACCACCATTCTATGTGGTCAAGAAAATAACTTAAAAAAAAAACCGCGCTGATGGAAAAGGATCACATGACTTGATTGATAACAGATGGCACTAAAGCCACAAAAATTAAACGAATTGAAGGAACAGAGAAAAAATTCTCCTTCTGAATCGACTTCTGAAAATATGAAAAAACTCAAAGAAGAGCTACAGAAACGTCGAACTGCTGCTATGCAGCAAAAGGAGCACAGTGAGAAGGCAAAAAGGATCCGCGCAAAGGCAAACCACGAAGCACAACTGAAGGAAGCTCAACTGAAGAAAATTAAGTCAAAACAAAAGGCCTTGGCAGAAGCCCAAGCGCGGAATGGAGGCAAATTGAAGACATATAATATATCTAACCCAGAAGATCGCCGAAAGGATGACGGGAAAGAAACCTGCAAACAAGTTGACGAAGATGCCCCGTTGGTTGACTTGGGTAACGGTGAGGTGCTCGTAAAATTTGATCAAAAAGACGTCGCCAGACTCTTGAGGAAGGCAGAGAGAAGAGGACGAGGCAAGAAACAGCCAGGAGCAAAGGGGACGAATAAGATCGACGAGAGCAATTTCTTTGACAAGAAATGTCGTGAGTATGGAGTAAGTATCTTTTCTACTCAGTGCAGACAAAAAAAACCGCGCTGATGGAAAAGGATCACATGACTTGATTGATAACAGATGGCACTAAAGCCACAGCGTTTTCCAAATAAACACTTTGATTGGTTAGGAATGCCACTAAAGCCACAGCACTTCAAATATGCACTTTAATTTTCTCTCTGTGTTTGCACTAATATTTTGAAAAAATGATATTAACGTGTTCCATTTTAAACTTTCCAGAAACATCCTATTTCAGTGACAGTTTCATCATTTCTCACAACTAACTCTTTTAGTTGAACCATTTTCATTTCTTCCAATCATCCTTATCAAGCCCATACCTCTTCATTCTAACACCCTACCTGTTTGTCAAATTTCTATATCCTTAAATAATTTGTTAAATAATAAATATCAAAATGTTTCTTTCCAAATAAAAAACTGTTTAATAAATCATCATCACACAGCACAGTACACATCAATGTCATTAATTTGTAATTGCTCCATCCATTCACAGTGTATAACTACCCCTTTCAGTAAAGAACGGGTACCACCTGGCAATACAAACTGTATTGCCTCCCTAACTTGTTCAATCTCAGTTTAGCTTAAAGTAGGTCTTTCCTTGTTCTTTATAGTTCTGTTATTTGAGCGCCGGGCCGGTGTCTAACAGTGCTTCTATTTCTGTTCCTAGAACATCACACTTTATGTAAGGAGCATTCCTCAATTTTGGGACATCTTTGCATGAAGTGCATGCGTCGCAGTCTGGATTCTGCTCTTCGCCATACTCTCTCGCTCAAACGCCCTCGCCGTGCTGCCCAGCTCCAGGGGGTGGCAACAGCCTAGTGCGCGCGTGAAGCTATGCGCGCCGCTCGGGCCGGCAAGGAGCGGCCGGGCGGCTGGGCCGCGCGGCCGAACCAAATTAAACAGAACTTTGTCAAAACTGCATCGAACTGAGTAAACGAAGTCATTTTTAGATTCTACGCAAAATTTCCTATCCGTGAGTGACAATGGAATGGACTTTTGGATATGTGAAACAGTTCTAAAATCAATTTGAAAACCAAATTTACGGCACCAGACAGCCGACTTGAAGTTTCCCTTTCACTAAAAAAGCTATTTCCGTTCGTTTTAGGTCCATACATACAGCGAGCCGATTGTTGGCCACTATTTTCCGGGTTGCGTGGTACACTTGGAACGCCAATACGACTTCTGTAGCAGAAATGCCGATCCAAAAACTAATTTCCATTTTTGGTCCAAAATTGTATTTTGCAACTTTGGAGGTTAAAAGCACAGTTTGAAATAGGTTTCTCAGCATTGTCAACCTCACTAAGCAACCCAGAATTCAATTCTCTATCGCCCTGCTGTGTTGGATTTGCAAAAGGAGGTCAAACTTCTAATTGAAACGAAAAGGCCCGAAGCGCTGCAAAACCGCCAAAACAGTTCAAGTATTTTGTGGAGCTTAATGTGTGAAAAATATTTCTCAGATTGTAAATCCAACCACACCACCTTGTAGGCCAGTCAATTCTACAGCTCCACTGTAAGTTTCATCGCAATCGGAGACCAAGAGTGAAGGCGGCAGAATATATTTTAAAGTTAGCTGCAAAAATCTGCCGCAGCGATTTCTCATACTTGCGCCCGCTAGACCAATCTACCAAACTGATGGGATTTACAATTATTATAGCTGTCTTTACTCTTGGTCTCCGATTGCGATGAAACTTACTATGGAGCTGTAGAATTGACTGGCCTACAAGGTGGTGTGGTTGGATTTACAATCTGAGAAATAGTTTTCACACATTAAGCTCCACAAAATACTTGAACTGTTTTGGCGGTTTTGCAGCGCTTCGGGCCTTTTCGTTTCAATTAGAAGTTTGACCTCCTTTTGCAAATCCAACACAGCAGGGCGATAGAGAATTGAATTCTGGGTTGCTTAGTGAGGTTGACAATGCTGAGAAACCTATTTCAAACTGTGCTTTTAACCTCCAAAGTTGCAAAATACAATTTTGGACCAAAAATGGAAATTAGTTTTTGGATTGGCATTTCTGCTACAGAAGTCGTATTGGCGTTCCAAGTGTACCACGCAACCCGGAAAATAGTGGCCAACAATCGGCTCGCTGTATGTATGGACCTAAAACGAACGGAAATAGCTTTTTTAGTGAAAGGGAAACTTCAAGTCGGCTGTCTGGTGCCGTAAATTTGGTTTTCAAATTGATTTTAGAACTGTTTCACATATCCAAAAGTCCATTCCATTGTCACTCACGGATAGGAAATTTTGCGTAGAATCTAAAAATGACTTCGTTTACTCAGTTCGATGCAGTTTTGACAAAGTTCTGTTTAATTTGGTTCGGCCGCGCGGCCCAGCCGCCCGGCCGCTCCTTGCCGGCCCGAGCGGCGCGCATAGCTTCACGCGCGCACTAGGCTGTTGCCACCCCCTGCCAGCTCAAAGCCTCTTAGTCTCTTGCTCTTTGCAGATTTACCGAGCTACATACGTGTCTTCCTTTCGCAGTAGATTTTTCTGTCTATTTTGAGTTTTTTCGTTCAATATTATTCTGTCCTGGTTTAGTCGTTTCTGAGTTCTCAGGTAAAAGTATCATGAGGTTTAACGAAAAGTTTAATAGATTATGAGTTTTGCGTTGCAAAATTTCTTCGAATGACGGCCTTACTTCGGGTTCCCGAGCAATTTTCGACTGAATTATCTTACAAAGTAATTTTTTTCTTGCTGTACTTCACGTTTATTCATGTTCACATTCATGTTATACTTGTTTCACCGATTTATTCAGTGATAATTAAAATCAAAGATTCATTTGGTGCACCTGACGCGAGCTTTGCGCGCCCTCGACCATTTATCTCCACTACCGTAAACCGGGGTAACTTGAGACAATATTTCACGTTTTTTGGACCGTGTGTCTACAAAACTTCTCCCACCAAGCCGAATCCTAACTATGTTTAATTTCACATGATTACATTCGGTTTGGAACCCATGAATTTTTTGGGGGTCACCTAAAATGAGAGTCATGGGCCTCCAAAGTTGTCTCAAGTTACTCTGTCATATGGGGTAAACCTATGTTTTACTATGCTTTTTAACGGAAGTGAGGTTTATGCCGGTCCATACTGATTTTCTGCGACATTTATCTTATTTTCAAAGAAAAGTACTACTTGTCGAATATATTAGAAGATTTTTTAACCTTATATTAGGATCTTTTCAACAAAGTTACATTATAGACCGGGAAGGATTCCTGAAAAAGGCTCTCTAAATCATGTCGAGAGGCGATTTGTGCTACAAACTGGCAACAGGCGGTTCTAGACTAATTTGACCCCGCTGAAAACGATGCGCCCTGTTGCCAAGCTCGATTTTTGCATTTAAGCCCCTAAATTTAAGATGGCGTCCAAAATGGTCGCTAAAAGGCTTGTTTTTCTAAAATATCGAGGTACGCACAAGCGTCGCTGTATTATTTTTACATTTCAGGGGTAAAATAATATAAAGTACATATTGTGTAACCATTTCCAACCATCTGTACATTTTTCAGGGGTCCAAATGCCAAGATGGCGTACGAAAACGTCAAAATACACCAAATATCCGTGTTTTGAAACGGTTTTCTGCTCCTTTTGCTCGTGATTCACATCCAATGGCAGTTCTTGTCGATCTTTGTAAATTTCCACGATTTAGGAGTATACGGGGTCTAATGTGGGAGGGTTTAGTTGCTAAGATGGCGTCCGAAAACGTCAATAAGTACGAAATATTGCTGTTTTTCCTGGAAACTTGCCCTATTTCGTTCGGGTTTCGTGTTCGATGTCAGTACTCATTATTCTTTGTACGTAGTCACGTGATGTCTAGGTCGGGAAACACTCTTTTACGCCCCTCAAGGGGCGTAAGGCCTTTTATACCCTTCGAAAGGGCGTTAATAACGTAGGAATTGTTTAGCAAAATTTTAATGCCCTGCCAAAAGGCACAAACGATTTACGCCGCTCTGAGGGCGTAAGTCGTTTTCGCCCTTAAATGGCATAATTTAAATGCCTTTGTTTTACCACTGTTATCACCGTAGTATGATTTTTTAAAATCGACGGATCTTGGGCTGAAAGTCGTCTGATCTCAATAGACCGGGAAAGATTGCTGATAATTGCATGTCGAGAGGCGATTTGTGCTACAAACTGGCAACAGGCGGTTCTAGACTAATTCGACCCCGCTGAAAACGATGCGCCCTGTTGCCAAGCTCGATTTTTGCATTTAAGCCCCTAAATTCAAGATGGCGTCCAAAATGGCCGCCAAAAAGCTTGTTTTTTTAAATATCGAGGTACGCACAAGCGTCGCTGTATTCTTTTTACAGTTTAGGGGTAAAATAATATAAAGTACATAGTGTGTAACCATTCCCAACCATCTGCACATTTTTCAGGGGCCCAAATGCCAAGGTGGCGTACGAAAACGTCAAAATACACCAAATATCCGTGTTTTGAAACGGTTTTGTGCTCCTTTTGCTCGTGATTCACGTCCAATGGCAGCTCTTGTCAATCTTCGTAAATTTCCACGCTTTGGGAATATAAAAGGTCTAATGTGGAAGGGTTTAGTTGCTAAGATGGCGTCCGAAAACGTCAATAAGTACGAAATATTGCTGTTTTCCCGGGTCATTTGCCTCATTTCGTTCGGGTTTCGTGTTCGATGTCATTACTCATTATCCTTTGTACATAGTAAATAGCAGTTCTTGTCAATCTTCGTAAATTTCCACATTTGGAAACGTCCAGGATCCAATGCGGGAGGACGTGTGTGCCAAAATGGCGTCCGAAAACATCAAATAACACGAAAATTCGATAATTATTAGTGTTTCTGCCGTTTTTGACCCGTGTGACGTGAGTTGTCAGTTCTGTCACATCATGCATGTGGTAGAGTAGCGAAAGCCCCAGGGCGAACAATCGATTAAACGAGCAAGGGGCCTAAATGCCCTTGTAGCATGAGAGGGCAAGCAAGTCTCAATTTATTCTTGCATTCATGAGTCGTGCCTCTAATTGATCCAGGAAGCGGAAGAAGGGGATAACTCAGTTTTGGTCAGGAGAAACAAAAAACTGTTAGCAGGGAAAACTAAAACAAAACAAATGAATGTTGCAGATGTTAATAATTTCAAAAAGCATTAGTCAAATTTTGAAAAAAAAAAAATCAAAAGTGTAAGGTCACTCCGTAGAGGATTTCTGCGACTTATCACTTTCCGCTGAAATGGAAAACAGAGTCAGCTCACCTTATATATCCTAAACAAAGTGGAATTTGGAGACAAGTCAAGTGGAACAATAGTCTGCATAAAGTGTATGTTACTCTGGTGTATTTTTTGGACTTAGCTCTTTTTTCCAAATTTAAAATTAAGGGGGGGGTTAAGTTGAGTTGATTCTTTTTACACTAGATCCATAAAAACACAAGTTGAGTTATATCCTTTTGCCAATTTGTCAAACGGACTCATGTAGACTAAGGTTGAGTTATCTCCATTTTCCAATGAAATTTAGACTGTAAAAGGGGTTAAGTTGAGTTATACCCTTTTTCCATGTGGATTTTCTCCTAAACTGCTTGGAATTCAGTCAAATAATTTGGTGTAATGATGTAAACCATTCTATGGCACAGTAATAAAATAAAAACTCAATTTGGGGATAAGTCAAGTTATTCCCTTCTTCCGCTTCCTGGATCAATTCATACTTAAAATGACACGTTGAAGGCTCACTCTCTCATTCCAGGAACTTGACGTCACGTTGAAACGAATGTGACACGTTCCCTAGAGCATTGTGTCACATTCGTTTGAATGAAAGTAAGGTAAGTTATGGCTGATTCACATCGAAACGAACGTGACATTTTGTCACACGTTACTGGGATGAGAGCGTTTATAACGTTCAAAATTAAACTTAGTATCCGTTTGTCGTATCTGTGGACGTTTCGCACTCCACCATGCGGCACTTACCGTAAACCGGGGTAACTTGAGACAGCAAGGGTAACTTGAGACACTTCTGCTTTTCCGCCGTTTTAGGAGGTGCCACCAAGCTCGGCACATTCGGAGGTCAAAACTGCCCTAGCACGTGTTTCAGACGATAAGGCGTTTGAACGGCGGGTAAGGACCAGGCTCACCACTTTCATAACGATTTTTCAATTTTAAGAACTTTAACAATTTAAGTGGAGTGTGACGAGTCTCTCTTGGTACTCGAAACAAGTCTTGTTTAGACTCAAATGACTGCAGTTTACACTAATAATCCAAACGCTAACGTCAATTGGTGCGATGCAAAAGCATTGCACATGAAGTGCAATACCTCCCCCATTCCCATGCATTAGCATAGGGCATTTTCGGGACGCATTGCACGTATGGTGCGATATCTCAGCTGCATTGTACCATACGTGCTATTCTCATAGCGTATGGAATCTCCTCAACCCTATTGTTTGAACATTCTAAATGTAGAATTGGTTTTGAGGGGAAGCCATCACTCATCGGGCAATATTGCCTTTTTTTAAAAAAGAAAATGGTAACTGTGCGGGGTAACTTGAGACACCAAGTTTCATCGAATTTGACGGAAGTTAAGGGGCGTAACACCCGTTTATAATAACTCACCTCCTCCGTTTTATCATCATAGCCAAGCCGCATTTGACGGGAACCATTTTTTCAGACAGTGTAGAGGGTCCCAAGTTGATATGCAGCTTAAAGTTGGAGTATTTTCTCAACTACGAACGGACCTCATGAGACACAATAAATCTGAAGGTCTCTAAATATGGGGAATTTCATTACCTTCCCAGCGAGCTTAATGTCAATTTGAGGGATAACGGCACTTCAGAAGCGCAACGATTCTCCCATTCCACATCCAACCCTATCAACTAAATACAGCGATTCTTTCATTTCACATCCAACCCTGACACCTGTTAGGACATTTTTTTATTTCTACGTACAAAAATCTATTCTTGCAAAGGTAAATAGTCTTAGTCAATTTTTTAAATTCATTCAAAATACTTCTACTATTTTTACCGTAGTGTTTCTTTTTAAAAAAATCGACGGTTCTTGGGCTAAAAGTTGTCCGATTTCAATGACATTTAGCGCGTTGGAAAGGTAATTCAATTCCCCATCTTTTGAGACCTCAAGAGTCATTAGGTCTCATCTGGTACGTGCGTAGTTGAGAAAACACTACATATGAACTTGGGACCCTCTACACTATCTGAAAAGGTGACTCCCGACCAAATGTGGCTTGGCTATGATCCTAGAACGGAGAGATCAGTTACTTTAAACCACCCTGTTGTGCAAGGAGGTGCCTGTGTCAACTTATGCCACTGAACTGCTGTGAAAATCAATGAAATTTGGTGTCTCAAGTTACCCCGTACAGTTACCATTTTCTATAAAAGTCAATATTACCCGATGAATGCACTGTTAAAAAACGTCCGTTCTCAAACAGAGCGGTTCAGCCGTAAGCAGCCAAAATACTTTTGCTTGTTGCCGGGAAACGAGGAATATTTGGTCTACCCTGAGAGTGTCTTATGATAAACAACAAGTCGGATGACCATTTCGAATTGTAACGCCGTCAGTAACTGAAACCAGTTCGGTGAAAATGACGAACAAAGGTAAGAATGACTCGCACCATTTGCAAACGGAAAAAATAACGCAAATATTTAAAACAATGCTCACTGTTAAAGGATATAACAGAAAAAGGCGTTGTGCGAATGATGTTTTTTCGTTTGTGAACATGTAAATTCTGTTTCCAAACAGATTTTTGTTTTGAAAGCGCATTTTTCATTACCAAATGGTAAAATTTTGTTCCAGAATTATTATTTTTTGTTTCAAAACAGAGATTTGCCGTTTCAGAACATCAGCAGTCGTTTTTAAACTTTGCACGAATTTTCCGTTCTAAAACGGCTGGATTTCGAACAGTGTGATGGGTTCCCCTCAAGACCAATGCTACATTTAGAATGTTGAAATAATGGGGTTGAAAGATACTACAATCATTTGGGTCTCAACAAAACGTGTTTCGAGTACCAAGGGAGACTTGTAACACTTCTCTAAAATTGTTAAATTTACTAAAATTGAAAAATCGTTATAGAACTGACCAGCTTGGTCCCAACCCTCCGTTCAAACGCTTAATCGTCTTTCCAAACAAGTATGAAAAGTGCTGGGGCAGTTTTTACCTCCGAATGTGCCCAGCCAGGTGGCAGCTCCAAAAAGGTAAAAAAGCAGAAGTGTCTCAAGTTACCCTTGCTGTCTCAAGTTACCCCGGTTTACGGTACTTTCATTTATTAATGGCATTATAGTAACATTTTTTTATCTTTTCAGGTACAATGGCTCCTGGTGAGAAGGTGCAGGAAATCAAGGGTGATCTATTCTCTGCACCATCCACCTTTGCCCTCGCCCATTATGTATGTGCTGATTTCCGTATAGAGAAAGGCATTGCAGTTTTATTTACGCAAAAGTTTTCTCATCAGAGTTATCTTTTGAACCAGGGCAAAGTTGCTGGGCAGGTGGCAGTCCTTCCAGCACAGTGGTGTGGTCGCCAAGCACCGATCTTCTACTTGGTCTCGGAAACTGTCAGCTCCGCGCCTGGGCCTGCATGGGAGAACTGTATGTCTTGCTTGCAGGAGCTGCATAACCAGTGTGAGCAGATTGGATGTGAAAAACGTGGCCATGCCTCGTCTTGGCTGCTACAATGACCATCTCTCCTAGCCTGCGGTGCAAAGTGAACTGTACAGGATCTTCCAGGGTTCCCGGATCACTGTGTAGGTTTGCACACCTCCAGTTCCTCTCCAATTTGGAGCGGCCCTCCCACCTCGTTTCCCCACTCTGCCAAGTGGTGAACCCGTTTACAGAGGTTGGCAGCTTCTTGGGGACAGTCAGGTGCTTCGGTTTGCTAATGGCTTTGCAGAGTATCACGAACACCCCCGGGAAGGTTTCTCAAGCAACTTGGATGGCGCATCTCAGAGACTCCGTTGTTGTTACGATTGGAACTAACGATGTGTTGCACTTATTCAGGAATGAGGCGATCAAGATGGACATCCGCCAGACACTCAGGGCAACCTTCCTCCAGGTAAGCAAAACCCTCTTCCTCAATTGTGGAGGAGTTTTCTTTGAGTGTGTCCCTCCTGTACCAGCCCACCCGGAGTGTGTAGACCTTGTCAGCTGGCTCACTGGTCTCATCCTCAGATCCACAAATGTACACCCTAAGGTGCATGTCATTAATTGCAGTGATCGGATCCTCTGTAGTGATGGTAAGATTGATGTGGGCTGCTTTGAAAGTGTCATGGGTCCTCAGTAAAAGCAAGATCTTATTCACCAGAACTACAGGCGTCACCAAGTTTTGAAGGCTTGTTTAGATGAGGCCACTTGTGCTGTCCTATACCTTGGAAACGAATTGGAGGAAGTCTTGATAGTCAACAAATGTTATAGCAAACCTGAAAATAATTTCTAAAACTTCAAAAATCTGCGACTAAAAATGTCAAATTTTCGCTTAATAATTGTGAAAACTATACAAAAGAATTGAAACATTCGTACTAAGTGAGATCGATGGAGATTCAAGATAGCTAAGATATTATCTTAAATTTTATTGAGCTGATTTTGCATAATGAATGTGCGCATTCTCCTGTGCTTGTAAAATGCAGCATGGGTTTTTACTATGCTTGAAATTGAGTGTACTGACTTTACGCTTGAAGCAGGGGGTCAGAATTTCTGATGTGGCTTGATTACGCTACGCTTTAAACATAGCTCTTCTTACGCTTGAAGTCGAGCGTAAGAGTACACTGTAAGATTTTACGCTTGAGGGCAGGCATAATACTATGCCTTAGTTTTACCAGTACAGACCACTTACAAACAATGCAGACACTAAAGAATCAACTGTTTGAAACAACGGACCACCATGACCACCAATACCACCAACCACCATGTACTTTATGGATTTAGGCTTAAATGGAGAGCAAATCACCTAAATTAAGGAAAGATCAACATTTTGATCATCAATGGGAAGGATTCTTGAGGTGTTTAATCTGCCCTGACTTCAAGATGTATCATTAGTAACTTTTTGACCTTTGAAAATTGATTTTGGAGTCAATGCGCTTTGTCGTCATGAGTTTCGAGTAAAATTTTAGCTCAAAATTAAGTTTTATCAACCCGATTCAGTGATGATACGTATTGCCAGATGAAATATTTTGTAGTTTTAAGCGGTCACCTAAAGTGAACCTTAGGACAAAGTATCGTGAAATTTCTCAAACCACGTAAAAAAATTGTGCTCATTTTTCACTGTTTTTCATAAATTTTCCTAAGTAAAAAATGGAAATTTTTTGATTTTTCACCTTTAGTCAGAGGAGAAGGTTTTCAGGACCCCTCTAAGCTAGTTGAAATGGAAATAGAAGCCCAAGGGGTCTCACATCACACTTTCATAGGATAAGATGAAAAGTAGGGTGGGCCGTAAAACACGATTTTTCGATATCGCAAACGTAATAGCGCGCCAAAGTTACTTCATGGTAATACAAACTCAACGCGATCTGAGCCAGGTCTGTAACTTAAAGCTTGACCCTCGCGCATCGACGTTGAAAATTCGAAAATTCGTCTTTTACGGGTTTTTCTAAAAACAGCCATAGAAACTGAACCTGATGTCCAAATGATGTTTGCGAGATGGAAATGGAAACGTCTGATCATGCTTTATCAGTTGAAGACCACCGGGACCCTCTCCGAGCAGTAGGGGACCGATGGGAACAAACTACAAAATTACAATTTTTTTCCGTTTTTTACAAAATGCAAAAATTGCCTTCAGGGTTTGATACGGCCATCCTGACGTCACCGTACCCGAACTATACCCCGAATCATCTTCTCTAGGGGCCCCTTTCCCGTTTTAAGCACACGGGGTACCCCGGGATCCGTTCACACGTTAGGATTTGGACGCAAAAACCACATGTTTTACTAAAAATGCAAATTATCGGTACTCAGGGCACCGTAGGGCACTCGTCTCGTCCGTATGAACTGTAGGGACTCAAAATCGATTACTTGATGGTGTCTTTGCGTCGCAGGAACCCACCAGTATATATTCAATCGGACGAAGAGACCTTTAAAACTCTATTTACACTGTAATTCTCGTTAACCTGGATTTAAAACGTATTTTAGGACGTGTATGGCTCGTCTGGTTTAACGACAGAAGGTCGCTGCACGTTTATGCACGTTATTCTTATCCATCGTACCCATTTTCATTTCCTTCGTCACTGTTATGTCCGTTTGCAACGGCCCAGGGAACATACTTACGTTTGGTGCGCTGGCAGAGCTGAGCCCCCCGTAGACGCGCCCCTGTTTCGTTTGTCTTCGTTATCGTAGTTTCTCAATACCGTTAAAATTTGTGCGACTGCCTGCGACAGCCGCAGGGACATGTTACGCCAGTTGACCAATTTTGGAAGTGATGTCTTCCTACAGGTAAACATTTACCTTCGTTCTGGCGCACTGAACCATCGCGTTTTGCTCCATTCTCCTGCGTACAGTATGAAGGTGTCAACATATACAAGCGCTGCAGGAAAAATCCATGGGAAAAAATACAGGCACAGTTTGGAAGAACATTTGCCTGGTACCACCGTACCTCAGTCAGTACGGCTTTTTGGGTACGAAGTACAGCTGTTCTGTACATCGTGTGGTACGGTCTAGCGGTACTTTTTCCTTGAAATGTACGGCCGTTTTAACAGTGTGTCGCAGCCCCACCTGTGGTTGTTTGGGTAAGGGTGGTGGTGAATCTCGACGTGCTGCCACCTTCTCGTGGTGAGGGCTGAGTCGTCTCGGATATTCCGGGCGAGCCAAGAGCAGTACAGTAGAAATCCAATGTTTGGAAAAGGGATTTAACCGAACCTTCAATGGATATGGCGTTCTAAAGGTCTCTCCATCCGATTGTCAATATACTGGTAGGTGCCTGTGACTCAAAGACACCATCTAGTAATCGATTTTGAGTCCCTACAGTTCATACGGACGAGACGGGTGTGCCCTACAGTGCCCTGAGTACCGATAATTTGCATTTTTAGTAAAACATGTGGTTTTTGCGTCCAAATCCTAACGTGTGAACGGATCCCGGGGTACCCCGTGTGCTTAAAACGGGAAAGGGGCCCCTAGAGAAGATGATTCGGGGTATAGTTCGGGTACGGTGACGTCAGGATGGCCGTATCAAACCCTGAAGGCAATTTTTGCATTTTGTAAAAAACGGAAAAAAATTGTAATTTTGTAGTTTGTTCCCATCGGTCCCCTACTGCTCGGAGAGGGTCCCGGTGGTCTTCAACTGATAAAGCATGATCAGACGTTTCCATTTCCATCTCGCAAACATCATTTGGACATCAGGTTCAGTTTCTATGGCTGTTTTCAGAAAAACCCGTAAAAGACGAATTTTCGAATTTTCGAAGTCGATGCGCGAGGGTCAAGCTTTAAGTTACAGACCTGGCTCAGATCGCGTTGAGTTTGTATTGCCATGAAGTAACTTTGGCGCGCTATTACGTTTGCGATATCGAAAAATCGTGTTTCACGGCCCACCCTAATGAAAAGTGCTGATTTCACTAAGTCTCCCAAAATGGTATTGGCCATAACTCTGGGAAAAATGATTTAAATAAAAAAACCTCTTAGAGAGGTTCCTTTGAGGTCCCAATGCATCGATTAAAAGTGGTTTGGACCGAATCCATCGACCTCAAAAACAGACCATCGTCGATTCGGCGGGGATTGACCCTATAGTCACGTTTCACGTCGTTTCCTATCTTTTTGAGGCTGCTGATGACGAAAATAGAACCTATTCGGACCCCCGACCCAAAGTTAAGTCCCATTAGTGTTGATTTTGCTGACTAGATGCTATCTTTAGAGGGGATTACGTCCATCTCTGCGAAAGCAGCCTAGCGAAGGCAGGCTAGCGCCGCGGGCCAAGGTAGGTACGCCAGGCGTGAATAGAGCACTCCAAGGAAGCTCTGGCCCGGAAGAAGAAGAACAAAAACGGAAGTAAGAAATTGCAGTATCTATGAGAAATATACGCTGCGCATGAGGGTCCACAGCGTATATTTCTCATAGATACGGCAATTTCTTACTACCGTCTTTATTCTTCTTCCGGGCCACAGCTTCTTTGGGGTACTCTATTGTCGAAACTGCCGCAGCATCGCGAAGCCTGTTACGACAAGGCACGGTCTGGCGTAAACCTATACCACCTTGTTACAACCCTAAAATACATGAAATTGTCTCAAGAGGATTTAGGTGGATGTTTAGACCACATGCATGAAGTCTCAAAAGAAGTGGTAAAATTTTACTCAGTCATGCTCATGTTCTTCGTTGCTGACAAGAGAAGTAAAGAAGTAACAGCAAAGAAGGAGGACCTCAGAAAGCAGTATTCCAAGCAGTCCAAACTTGTGAGACTCGATGTTCAAATGTAGTCAAAGAGCAAAGATATTTATGGTTTTTTTTTTTAAATATATTACTGAATTTTCGGCTGAGCGATAGCGAAGCCCGTTACTCCAGTGGGGTTAAAAAACTTTTTCGGGCTGCGTGCGTGTGTGTGCGCGCGCGCACTACTCGTCCTGAACGGCTCGGCCGATCTGCCTGAGATTAAGCAGGGTCATTAGGTGTACCTAAAGACCCTGCATGTTCTTGGCTCGCCACACGCCAAAATTCAGCTTTCTATCTCAATCCATTCGGTCGTATTAGCTCTTAAACACTTAAAAACGGCAGAAAAAAGACAACTTTCTTGGTACTTTCATTTGTTAGGTCGAGTTTTATGTCGTTTTGTGTGTTTTTGAGGCTGCTGATGACGGAAATAGAACCCATTCGGACCTCCGACCGAATGTTGAGTCCCATTAGTGTGGATTTGGATGACCAATTGCTATTTTTGAGGGGATCGCGCCCATTTCGACGGTCTGCCTAGGAAGGCGGCCTGCGAAGGCAGATTAGCGCCGCAGGCCAAGGTAGGTGTATACGCCAGGCGTGGATTGTCGAAACTGGCGCAGCATCGCGAAGCCTGTCACGACAAGACACGGTCTGGCGTACACCTGAGGGAGGGTGAGGAACCATGACCACTTTTTTTGTGCCTCCCTCTACCCCGCCTTGTGGTTTGAAAAGTTCAGTTTCCAGCATGAGGGGATTCTTTGGACCTCCCAGGGCCTCTTCCACCCATTGGAACTTGTCTGCAATGCACGGCAGGCTCACAGAACACTTAGGAAAATAAAACGCAAAGTGGTCATGGCGCCCCACCTATGGGGCACCATGACCATAGTAATTTTTGGGCCCAAGAAGTGTACTTTCTACAAGTATTCTTATAAAATTGTTTATATCGCTGTTCTTACCATCAGGCCAGTCAACTTAACTATAAAACACTGTAAAAACCTTCGAAGTATCAAACGTTCTATGATGCCTTAAAATGGACGGCTTAAAACAGTTAACGCTCTAAGGCTTTCAAATTTCACATCCAAAGCTATGACATGTGTTAACGTTTTATGTTTGTCTTCCTAAGACGAATCCAAATTCGTATGCAGATTTAAATTTTGTAAATTTTTAGAAAATTCTCGCGGTTACTACACTGCAAACAAGTGAATTAAATGCTGTTTCTCATAATGCCAGAGCCGTCTCGGTGCAAAGTTGCCACGGATCGCTTTCGCGGCCCACTTTTGCGGTTTGGAGCTCTTAGTGCTAGAGAAACTACCATTTCAAGTCTCAGTTTCAGAACCAATCTTAACAAGGTAGGTGTACGCCAGACCGTGTCTGGTCGTAACAGGCTTCGCGATGCTGCGCCAGTTTCGACCATCCACGCCTGGTGTATTCACCTACCTTGGCCTGCGGCGCTAACCTGCCTCCGGCAGGCTGCTTCCCTAGGCAGGCCGTAGAGATAGGCGTGATCCCCTCAAAAAATAGTATTTGGTCATCAAAATCTACACCAATGGGATTTAACTTTCGATCGGTGGCCCAAACTGGTTCTATTTTCGTCATCAGCAGCCTCAAAAACATATGAAACGATATGAAACTTGACAAAAAGTTGAAAGTACCCAAAAAGTTGTGTTTTTTCTGTCGTTTTTGAAGTGTTTTTTGGCTGATATTCGGTCATGACCGAATGGATTGAGATAGAAAGCTGCATTTTGGTGTGTGGCGAGCCAAGGACATACCTAATGACCCTGCAAAATCTCAGCCAGATCGGCTGAGCCGTTCAGGAGGAGTAGTGCACACACACACACACACGCAGACACACAGACAAAACTTTTCACCCCACTGGAGTAACGGGCTTCGCTATCGCTCAGCCAATCATCCTGGTGATTCACGATTTGTGATAAAAGTATCTATTCTGCAGCAATTATTCAACCCTTATACATTTTCTGAACCAAAAAGCAAATTTTTGACGAAGATTATTAGATCAAAAATTGAGAAAAGCCACTCATGGTCATGGTGCCCTACTAAAAAGTGTTTATGGCTCCCCACAATGCAGTTTACAACCCCCTGGAATACAAAAACTTGTGATTTCTCGGAGGCTGCCTGCGGATGCATCAATGGATATCCCGCAGAAGGCCAGTCTATATAGTTTATGGTTTGGATCACAGGGCCGATTATCGGCTCGCCTTTAAGCCCCAAACTTTCGTTGTTGTTGTTCAACGAGAACATCCTATGCAAATGCTTTCGCATTAGTCCGCACGACCCCTCCGGGGTTTAGTCTAACAGCCATGTGGCAGACATTTGCCTTCATTACGGGATGTGCCAACTCCAACAAGTGTGAACACATCCTTCAAAATGCTTTCCATTTCGGGCTTGCTGCCTTTCACTTCAACGAGTTTGTCAATCAATGTCGGAAGGGCCCTCGACACGATCGCGTAAATTGAGAGTCCATGAAAATTTTGGCCTTCTCGACATAATGTGTCACAGAATGTGTCTTCAAATGACTTCCAAGGTTGTTGTAACCTTTCCCTCAAATCACGCACAAGCCTCGGGCATCCCGGTCATTGGGAACCCGATTAGCCACTCTGAACTGCAACAGACAAAGAAATTAGTTTATGAATAGTGAAACACAATCCTTATCACATAAATCAGTATACTTACGCCAAGTTTCCTGCACTGTATAACTGACTGATTTGCTTTGTCGATTTTATTGGCAGTGGCAGCTTTGTTTGCTTTATCCTTATTGCGACGGTCCTTGGCGGCTTGCTTTTTTGTTTCGCGTTCCAGTACGGGAAGCATCACTTTGCTTGGTACTTTAAAGTAGTGATATTCACCGTCTAGAACAGTTTCCTTGCTGCTTGCACTTGACAGTCCCGAATCACTTCTCTCATCATTTTCTGTCAACTTCGACGGCGGCCTCGTTAACCAAGTCCTGTGGTGGCACCTATAGAACCAAAAAGGGAAATGGTCAAAACGACACTGACTATCAATTCGTCCATTTTGATGCATTCAACTTACCCAGTTCAATTTGAAGACATCTTCACAGTTGTACATTGGCATACAGTCGGTTTCTTTAGTAGACAAGCCCACTCCTGTGATGTTACAGAAGTTTCTCACCACTCGTTCTAGAGCGGTACGGTCATTGTTTGCTCCCATTAAAGCATCTAAGACTGTGGGCAAATGCAAAGGTCCACGAGCATTGTGTGAAAACTGGCCCGCAACATGTGCATTTATTCTCTTACTGTCACAGTCTGGGTGGCCGCCCGTCTTAGATTTCAGATGTGCGACCAGCTTGGACTTCATTTCTCCACATCTGGGACAGATCTGCTTCGCATCACGTCCACTTTCCGTGCGATTGCTTACGCGGTACTGGAAAAAGACACAAAGTATTAGAATGCATCCCACATTCCTTTTTCATTTCCTTTGTAACATACGCCGATAGTTTGCCGCGCACAGTGGAGCAAAACGCCAAAAAATGCGACATCGTGGGACAAAAATCATTTTCCGATCTGTCAGTTTTTTACGGCATAGGGTCTTTCATGATGTTATCTATAAAAGAAATGATTTCCTGGTATTGGCTAGGCTTGTAGAGCAAAAAATCGCGAAAAACATGAAAATTTGTACTAAAATGTACCTTTTTTACACGTTTTTTGCCCCTTAAAATGACATTTTTTCGATTCTGCAAATTTTTCCAACAGATTCGAAAGCTAAGGACAAGGCCTACAACTTTTGTTTTGGTCGCAACGCTGTAGCGAGGTCGGCTCTTCGACTTTTTGGCCTCAAGGTTTTTCCTATAATAAATTGCACTGGAAAATTTTTCTTATTTAGCAAATTTTGGTATTCTTGTGCCCCTGCAGTCCGCTTTACATCCCAACCAGTTTCAATTCATCCCATCGAGTTTAAAAAGAACCGGAAATAGATGTAGCGAGGCAACACAGACCTCAAGGGCACAAAAATACCTAAATTTGTCAAAATAGGAATAATTTTTCAATAAAATTTATTATAGGGAAAACCTTTGAGGCCAAAAAACTCGAAGAGCCGACCTCGCTACAGTGTTGCGACCATAACAAAAGGTGTAGGCCTTGTCCTTAGCTTTCAGAATCTGTTGAGAAAAGTTGCAGAATCGAAAAACTGACAGTTTTACGGGCAAAAAACGTGTAAAAAATGGCACATTTTGATACAAAAATTTTTGTGTTTTTCGCGATTTTTTGCTCTATAAGCTAGCCAATACCAGGAAATCATTTCTTTTTCTAGATAACACATGAAATGGGAAAATGCCGTGAAAAAAGCTGAGGGATCGGAAAATAATTCTATGTCGCACGATGTCGCATTTTTTGGCGTTTCGCTCCACTGTGCGGTGCCGTCCCAGCGCTCAGCTGCCTCGGCCACGCCAGCTCCCTGTCTATCCTTAGAGAGAGAGAGAGAGAGAGAGAGAGAGAGAGAGAGCCTTGCTGCCGGTCGATTGGCACGTTTGACGGCAGGGAGACAGCCGCCGCGGGGTGAGAAGCGCCTGAGCGGCTCGAATGCGAATGGTGCTTTTCGCCACTCCGAGAGATAGTGTGACAGCCGCCGAGAAGCGTCGGGCGGCGCCGTCCAGCCTGGGTAATTCTTTCATAAGTGCGACACTTTTCGGATTTAACCTCACCGATTTCGCTCATTTTTATTGGATCGTCACCAATTAGGGTCGAGTTTATGTGTGCAAAATTTGAGCCGTTTATATCAAATCGTTTCCGAGAACTGGACATGGGCCTTTTTGGTGGTTTTAGTTGAAATTAGGTACAAGTTTCAGGAAAGGTCAAGTATCTCGGCTATTTTTCAAGCTACAGAAAAAACATGACTACCGCTGGAAAGGGCATAAGAAATGGAATCGATGCTGCGTTAAAACACATGTCTGGAATGCACAGTTTTTACGGTGTAGAGACTTAAAGTTTTTAATTTTAATACCCCCGAAATACCCCATCTCCAATTCTCTCAAAAATTTGTGAAAATGTTCCTACTTCCTTCTTCTTTAAGGGGTCAAAGAGGTTTTCCCGACATCTTGCCTCAGACGCTCTCTAGTAGAGTCCTAAAGTCTAACGGAGAAACGCGGGCGCCGATAAGCGCACCAACAGTTTCTCATACTCCTCGCGCGCGGCCGGAGAGCTCTCTCATATTCCAGACAAAATGGCGGCGCACGGACTGAACGGCTGGAGAAGGTTTTTTGGTTGCAGCTTCCAAACCGTTGTAGATAGAGGGGTATAGTAAGCGAGCCGATTGTAACTTGAACAGAGACGTACAATCGGCTCGCTTACTGTACCCCTCTAACTTTAACGGTTTACGAGTTGTGGCCGAAAAACTGTTCCGGCTGTCTGCTGCGCTCCGCCTCGCCCCACCTTACCGCACCGCTCCCCGCTCTGCTCCCCGCTCTGCTCCCCGGCCCACTCCCCGCTCCCCTCTGGGCCGGCCCAGACAAAATGGCCGCCAGCGCGCGACGGCGCCCGCGTTTCTCCGTTAGACTTTAGGACTCTACTCTCTAGGGCCTGAAACGTGTCTTTGGGGCCAGAAAGTGACCTCGAAAGATAGTCATCCTGATGTAAACTTTAATTCTGAACAAGATTACTTTTATTGTGTTTTGCTCTATCTCCAACGGTTCGCGAGATAAACGACAATCTTGCGGTAAATTTATAACCTTAGAGTAAAACAGGTACAAAACGTATGAGCCGAGGTATTAAACTTATTGTCGTTTATCTCGCGAACCGTTGGAGATAGAGCAAAACCTAATAAAAGAAATCTTGTTCAGAATTAAATTTTACACCAGGATGACTATCTTTAGAGGTCAATTTTTGGCCCCACATACACGTTTCACGCCCTAGAGAGCGTCTGAGGCAAAATGACGGGAAAACCTTTGTCCCCTTAAAGAAGAAGGAATAAGGAAAATTTTTACAAATTTTTGAGAGGGTTGGTAATGGGGTATTTTGGGGGTATTAAAATGAAAATTGAAAACTTTAAGTCCCTACACCGTAAAAGCTGTGCAGTCCAGAAATGTGTTTTAACGCAGCATAGATTCCATTTTTTATGCCCTTTCCAGCGGTAGTCATGTTTTTTCTGTAGCTTGAAAAATAGCCGAGATACTTGACCTTTCCCGAAACTTGTAACTTATTTCGACTAAAACCACCAAAAAGGCTCATGCCCAGTTCTCGGAAACGGCTTAATATAAACAGCTCAAATTTTGCACATATCAACTAGACCCTAATTGATGACGATCCAATAAAAATGAGCGAAATCGGTGAGGTTGAATCCGAAAAGTGTCGCACTTAAAAAAGAATTACCCGCCTGCGGGCCTGCATCCGGGACGGGCTGAGAAGGTATGGCCGCGGCGAGCGGGGTTGTGCGGGGCCCGCGCCCTGCCGCGCGCCCGATTGGGCTGCGGGGTCATGACGTCACGGTGCTGGGGCGAAGGGGCGTTAGCGCTCTCTAGGGCACGCACGTGCCGTGCCTGCCTCTTCACCATCCACCGTGATGCTGTGGTGCCGCAAAGCGATTTCGAACAGTAACTTCGTCGCTCTGTGTCTCCTCTGCCCCCCCCCCCCCCCCCCCCCCCGAGTGCGAGTGCGAAAGAGACAGAGCGACGAAAGCAGTGCCACCTGCGCAAGGCGCGTGGCTACGACGCTGGAAAGGCTTTGTCTCTCTAGCACTCACAGTCCCGTGCGCGACATCTTGTCCAGTCCGGCCAGTCCATCCTGCAGACTCAGGCTGGCTGGCCCGCTGGCCCTATCCTCTCTCTCTTTCTCCCACTGACGCTCTCGTCGCGAGTGCGAGCCCCTGATGCGACGCACTAGCGGTGGCCGGGCCGAGCCAAGCGGGCCGAAGGCTACCCAGATCGTTCGTAATCGAACAGACAGTGCTCCCAGAGCGGGGCGGAATGCACTTCTCCCTGTCCCTGCTGGCTGACTGGCCGCGGACTTCCATTCAGAGGATCAATTTATGGCCCCGCAACTCAACAGTAAAATTTTTGAATGGGTCATTTTGGAGTTTTAAAACCTATACAGAGGTGTTCAGCGCACAATTACGATGCCAAGCAACTACAAATTCAAGTCTCTACGACCATTTGGACCGAAGCTTGTTTGAACATCGGTCCACAAAACCTAGGTCAAAATGGTCGTAGAGACTTGAATTTTTAGTCGCCTCACATCGTAAACGTGTGCTGAACCCCTTAAGCCAAGTCTTAAAACTCAAAAATTATCCGTTCAAAATTTTAACCTCTGCGGTATGGGGCCATAAATCGGCCCGTCACGCTGCCGGTGTCCGCTCAGGACACCTCCGGCACGTGAATGAGAAAGGGGCTGCGGGGCTGGCAGGGGGCCCGGCGCAGAGACAAAGCAGAGGGCTGCAGGCAGACGGCTGGGAGAGGAGGGGCGGGGGCGGGCGGGGGCCGGCATAGCCCGTCCACGACAGTGCCTTTTCAAAACTTTGCGACATGCCCAAAACCACTGTTCAGAGGTCCGCCGTCTACCGGATTTTGGCCTCTAATTTAAACTGCACAGGAACGGGAACAACTTCTCTGGAAAGAGCACATGTCAAGCTACAACGTACCATCGCCCTTTTTTCCGTTTTCCGCAAAGCCGGGAGACTGTTGTGGACCAAAGTCGAGTTACCTTGGGGCCTACCGCAAGCGTTCATAAAATTTCTGGACCCATCGTCAGCGAGACTGTACCCTAATAGGCCCGTGAGCCAAGTTGCAGATCGATACCTCGAACGGTGTGGCCAGGACGGCGTTAGAAAGAGGTCGGTGGCACTGCCGCTGCAAGACGCAAACGAGGCGGCTCAGCCAGGAGTGGTATATCCCATCGGTTCCCAACCCCGGGGTCGCGACCCCATTTTGGGTCGCGGAAAAATTTTGTGGGGTCGCGGCATGCTGCCTGGGGTCGCCAGCTGGCTCCTGAGGGTCGGTCTGCGGGGGCACCGCCAGTGCGGGAATACGGAAAAACCGGCGGGTGTTTGGCGCTTTTGGCGCTACTAAACTCCGGTTTGTGAAGGTCGCACGCACGTCTCCTACTTGTTGGACTGGGGCTGAGCAATGCAGTGCTACTGCGGAAAGCGAACTCCTCCCCTCCACTACCCCACCCTTCTGGGCTTTGGGCGCGGGGGTGTGAGGAAGCCTAGTCAGGAAGGGTAGGGTAGTTTAAGGTAGTGGAGGGGAGGAGTCCACTTTCCGCACGGACTGTTTCACTTAACTTAAGGCACAGGGCAGCAAAATTAAGAGATAATAATTAATTTTATTGAAATGATTCATAATTATTACAAAAAAACAAATCATCACTTTTGTTAACATTACAAATAATGTGGCACACTTGTTCTAAAACTGGTTTTTGTTTTATATCATGTGTGCCAATACGGGCTCGTCTCCGGGAATCGCATAAGAGAAAAAAAATTCAAAACATTCTCTTTTAATATCAAAACTAACCTTATTAATTTACCGTGCATTTCGGTCCATGTATCCTCGTACGCAGGACACTTGGCACCAAATCTCGAAATTAATGAGTTTCTTAATTAAAAAGCGGTCGAGTGACCCTAGGGCAAGTGAGCCACCCCCAAGATAACTTGACTCATCTTTTTTTTTGCCACCGATATTTCGATGCAATTCATTTTTTACCCTTTCATCTTCATGAAACTATGCAAGACATCAACCGGTATTTGGATTGAAATGATGCCAAGTTTTCTTAAGAACAGGTTCTGGTTCCTGTTGCAAACGTTGTGTTGGTAAAGATCAAAGGCCCGGATTCACGAGGTGTTGGTATGGATCAAAGGCTCGGATTCACGTGACCAAGGGTGACTGGTTTTTGGTGGACTTTCGGGAGATGCCTAACTGGCAAGAACTTCGGAAACTTGAATGGGGTACTCACAAATTTAATGACAATAGAGTAAAGTGTAGATTGAATAACGCAAATCTGAACAGAACAATTGCCACTGTTTCAACGTTCGCTCTCTTTTCCAGCGGTTCAGCAGCTCTGCTCCCTGTCCACCTGAGAGAGGGGGGCAGGAGCGCAGGCTGCGGCAGGCGGACCACGAGAGCGCGGCGAGTTGCCTTCAGACGAACCAGTCCAGAGGCACGCAGGGGTACACTGTTATTCAACGAATGTGAATTGTGTCACGTTCGTTTGGACGTGACACGGCCGTTTTTTTGGGATGTCACATTCGTTTGAACGTGGATCAACATTCAAACGAAGGTGACAAAATTCACATTCCAACGAATATGACGTGATATTCGTTAAATAACAGTGTAACCGCGCTCTTCGCTAGAGGGCCTCATGCGGCGTCAGAATAGAACTTGACGAACACCGTCACACTGTCTACACTGCACGGTGCACCCTGGCAGCACGCGGCGCGCTGCAGCCACCTGGTCACGGCAGAAAGCGTCCCTGTCAGTGTCATGGTCCCTCAACAATACGAGCCGCGAGAGGCGCAGGCCGCACGGGCCCAGAACGGCGTCCAGGTCGCTGCATCCGTCTGACCAGAGCAAGCCAGGCGAAGCGCTCACCGCCAGCAACACCACGTCCAGCGAGGCCGCGTGCGCCTGCAGCAGGGACTGGGTGATGGCGCGTGGGAAACAGCACACAAGCAGCCACTGCACGCTGCTGGGCTGCGGCAGTGCGGGCAGCAGGGGTGGCTGGGCGCTGCTGTAGCCCTGCAAATGCAGCCGTCGCAGTCGCGGCATGCAGTGCACCACCACCATGTGATCCTCGAGGAGGTCACACGCCTTCAACTCCTCCAGCGTCGCAGCAGCACTGCGCAGGAGGTCCAGAGACCAGGCCCGGTCATAGGCGCAGTACACACCAGTCATCCGGCGCACCTGCAGACACAGCACAGCGTGAGGTAATATACTCGGAGACATGCCGGAACAGTCAAAATTTTGGTTGTCCCTTGATGACAATTTTTATTAAACCTGTTTTGATGACATTGTTGTCATGACCATGCTGTGAAGTATATGAGCTTTTATGGCAATGTCACCAATTTGGGATGAAATTTTCATCATTCAAAAGTGATGGGAATGCCATCCACTATTCTTTTGTGATTACGCGACAACACATTTTGACCGTGCAGGCGCAGCGAGGCGGCGAGGCAGGGAAGCACTAGCTGCACACTCACCCCATGCTGCCGCACGCGGCACAGCGTCTCCGCCTGCGCGTCTCGTCGCTCATCAGGGGCAGAACTCCTGACGGAATGCGTGAGACTAAACATGTTGAGCTCATCGATGCGTTGCTCGGCTGGCTGCTGCGCTGCAGCGGCCCGCTCCTGCTGGACTTCCCTGGGCACCTAGCAACAGAAAGGCTGTTTAACAGTAATACTGCTAGGGTGGCACTCGGAAGGTCGTGCGAGGTGCGAGGATGACAAATCACGATACCCGACTTCAGACCACTGGAGTCCTATTGTTCCCTCGCGGGAGAGCCGCGAACTTGAAGTGTTTCGTGTGCCGTAAATGATATGCGCGATTCCTAATATTCTGACGATCAAATCAGCGTCACTTTCTCAGCAAAACCAACTGTGTACTCAGTACACGCTCCTGGGCGCATGCTAATGAGTATGCGCTGCTGGGTGTGTACTCACTCATCAAGCACACGAGTCCACCAAGAGACGGATTCAAGGGTTGCCTACTTATGCCTCTCATAGTGTGACGCCCTTATTGCCCCCCCTTTTTGATCCGCGCCTGGAGTACAGGGTGTCCTTAATAAGTACACTGCCATTCGAGAGTGCTTTCAAAGGTAGCGCTTAGAGGCGCTTGTCTTCGGTTTCGTAGCGCCTCATGTTGAGGTGCCTTAGGCGCTTAGCTTTGAGACACCTTTGGCCTTTGGTCCTCCCCACTAGATGAAAAAATGCTGAAGTTTTGGCCCAGGCCAAAGGTGTTTGGCGACCGAGCACCTTGCCAATGCAGTGTGGCCCTACCGAGGGGTCGACAACTCCCATATTACCTCGTACGCGGAGGCTATATTACCTCTATATTACCTTATATTACCGTATATTACCACATTTTTTCTTGATTTTCTTGTTTCTTACCCCGATTTAACGCACACTTTGTTGTACTGAACCGTGATATTAAGATGTTGAGCAATTAAGCTTCTTATTGGGATTGGAAGAAGTTCGGATTCAAATGTCCGCACTAAACCTAAGACGAAGCTATGTCTAGTACACTTAGCGGATAGGTTGCATCAGGTTGCATACCTTGCTTGAGACAGGGGCTGTATCATCAAAAAAGGATTATGTCCACATCCTTTTATAATTCTTACCAGAAGTTATGATTGAAGCCTTTATGAAGAATACTTTGTCACGTTTTCAACTTATTTTATCGTATATTACCGATATTTTATTTTCGTATATTACCTTATATTACTGGTAATATATACCACCTCGTACACGGCTTGAGGTAGTTGTCGACCCCTCGGGCCCTACGCATTGCAAGCACAAAGGTGTATAGACAGCAAACACCTTGTACTACATCCGAAGGGAACCAGACGGGTCAGGACAGTGGGCTGGAACAAAGGTGTTTCAAAACTAAGCCCCCAAGGCGTCGTGAAATAAGGCATTTTTAGGCGCCGCGCTTGGAGGCGCTTGAAGGCGCTAGGAAACCTTGGGCCAGCGCCTAAAGTCGCTTCCCTTCAGAGCACCCCTGAATGGCGTGACACACCCAACAGTGTGTAAAGGAGAGTGGGGCAGTTTGTAACTGAATTTGAAATTTTGAAGTCATAATCGTATTTTTTGTCAATCGGCTCCGTGTTTGAACTAGTTCGATAGTTGGGCTCTTTATGTAGGCCATTAAACGTCCGCAGACGCTCACAGGTTCGTTCAACGTGAATAATAAGGCGAAACCCAAACCCTTGCATCTGTTACAAACTGGCAGGAGCAGTTCGTAAAAGCAGTGGGGCAGTTTGTAACAGCTACAAACGTGCTTTTTGGACATTTTGAATTATAATGGAAGCGTAAAAAGAGGTACAATTTTTCAAAATGCGAATTTATAAATGGCAGTGGGTTCGTCTCAGAGAGTCGATCAAAAAGATGTTATCACACATTATTGATTCTGAGTTGAAATAGAATGTCTTGAACGGTACGAGTAGTTTCAACCATTTTTAAGCTTCGCCAAAAAGCTTCAGTTGCGCAAATTTTAGTCACTGTAAGGGAGGGTGGGGCGGGCACCTAGTGACACTTAATAGAATTTTCGCATGAACGCCGCATTTCCAGCTATTGCTAAATATTTTGATCAGAACACGTCAATTAAACCCTCCGACTTAAAGACCCAATCAGAAAATATAAGAGTCACCAAATGATAAGTAAAATACGACCGCGAAATGACCTCTGCACTTGCAACCAGGTGCTCCACGGTGAGGCACCTAGTTACAGCGCTTGAAACAAGAGTATCTCTCGTTAAAAATCGTGGTTATGTAGTTGGTGAAAAACATTTTAGTCGTTATAAGTTGAAACATTGATTTGGAATGCAAAATTAAAAAAATTACGATTTCACGAAATCCTGGTAGTCACGAAGTTAATTTCATTTATGTTCTGGTTTCACAAAAACTGCGTTGAGTGGAGGTTATTTCATGTTTGGCACCACTATCTATAAAACTAAAACTTACAGACAGGACCAGGCTGTGTACCAATTTGGTTCCAAAAGACATTTAAGACAGTCTTAAAATACATGAAGGTCAGGTTATTCTCAGAAACGTGTAATAAAACTGTTCATTTCACCCAGGTTCAAAAGATTTGAGGTTAGAAAAATGCACAGCCGACGTGCCCAGATAGTTTCGTCTTAAATTCAGAAGTACCATCGAACCTCTCTAAAAGGAGCAGCTAGATGTCCACTTTTTGGAGGGGAGGGACTTTTAGTCACTCTCAAACTAAACTAAGGAAAGTTAATTCACAGATAGAGGTGCACAGGCCGGCAGTTTAATGGCCTATTTCACTCTTATTCGAAGACTAACGAACATTTTAGGTTGGCACTTTTGAAAACAATGAGGCATTTTGTTTATCTGTCTCTGTTTTTCGCTGACAAGCCGAGCTTTGCCATGGAAACGGCGATTTTAACTCCAAATTTCTCAAAATTCAGCGCTAAGTTTTCAACCAGACTTCACCAGTGAAATCAGGGTACAAAGTTCTGTCACTTTGCAAAGTCTCATCAAAATCCTATAAAAAGTTTCGGAAATGCATAAGGGGCCGAACTGAATATTAAAAAAAAAAAACAAAAAAAAAACCAACCCTGGGGAGGCTAGAAGGCTACTTCGTGCCTAAAAAAATTACGCTTAATTTCGGCAAAGCAAAAATATGCCTGCGCCACGTCCTTGCGAAACTCTGATTGACAATGAACCAACATTTATGAACGACATTTTGGGACATCCAATTTTGAAAATGGATTCATAACGCTGGAAAATATGTGCACTAAATAAATAATTCGAAAAGGAGTGGTTGGCAACAAGAAGCTTATCGGCCACGTTGTAAATTAGTGCCCCACGGAAAATTGTCACTATCTGCTATCTGCCCTGGGGGCTCAGTTCATCTGAAAACGGATTTACGCAGACAACCGAGAATCAAAAATTTAATGCCCAAGCTAAAAACAAAGTTAAGAATACTGCGGTTAATGATGGAGTAAAGGAATCCTGGGCGTGGAAGTCACTAGAAGACAGCAATCAACAACTTATTTCGGACAAAATTTCGAAAAGTGTCCCACATTTGTTGCATCTGAATTTTGAACTTCTCCTGACGCTTTCACACTAGATCCTTGGGGGAAATACTTATTGCAAACATGTTCTTAAGTTAAAATATCTGAATTCCTGCTAGGACAGATGTCCTCAACAACCCTGCAATAGCCGCAAGCATCGAAGTGTAACTGGGTGCCCCCCACCCTCCTTTATGACACGAAGTGATCAATCCAATCGTTGGGCCCCAAAGTAATTTTTGTTACAAATTCTTATCTTTTGTTACAATTTTGTTACGGAGGAAGTTTAGGCTACAAATAGTGGTCCAAACTTTAAAGTGGATCTCAAATCGTTGCGATTGCTGGTGAGTACCGTTCAGGATATTTTGCCGAAAAAGTGACACTAAAACAATGTTTGTATGACCTGACTATAGGACTCCACTGACCACACTTTTTACGCAACAAGGGCACAACCGATTAATCGATATTCGGTGGATGTTTAAACGACATAGACCAACATTGGGTACATAGTGAACCATGAATTACCATTATTTTGATACACGATACCCTTAAGACAGAATCAAGGTGGTAGACGCTAACTATGACGCAAAATCTTATGTTTTATCAAGAAATGCAGTGAAAATCAAGCTCTGCGCGTAGTGTCTTGAAGGCAACTAAGGTGCCTTAATTATTGTTCATATTGTGAATTTTAATGCCAATGCAAACCGGTGTAAAAACGCATTTTCTCCCCTTTTTTAAATTAAATTTTAAATACGTTGCGCGGGGGCAGTAGTGGTGACCTGAAACCTGCTTGAAACCAAAATCCCGTCTTCTAAGGGATAGAACGCAAGAAACATGCCCACCTGTTGCAGGTGGCCGCTGGCAGCCAGGGCCACGACGAGCGTCCTGGGCAGCGAGTCCTCGGCGTGCTCCTGGCCGTCGACGCGCCACTCGGCACCGAAGGCCTCGCCGTCGTCCTGCCGCAGGGTCACCTTGCAGGTGGCGGGCACTCCGCGCAGCAGCCGCAGGGCGGTCAGGGCGCTGCCGTCCTGCAGCCCCTGGAGGCCGTCCTGGAGTCCCTGAAGGTCCTGCATTGCTGCCGGCATCCAGTCCTGCAGGCCTCGCCGCAGTGCAGCCTTGGGTCGCCTCACGCTGTGCTCTTCGGTGCACTCGGTAGAGGCGGTGCACTGGCAGTCCATGCACCACCACGCGACACGGGGCCTGCAGCAGAGTACACTGTGAGAACCTTCATTGAACCCAATGTTCCCGATGTAAACGGGTTGTCACCCAACACTTATCGTGAGTAGGCGGAAAGACATCGCGTACACGAGGGAACACTTTCCGTCGTGCCGACAGGACTCACCTCTCCAGGTCCAAGGCTTCCAGGCACGCCACCAGCGCGAAGTTGTCTGACACCGGTTCCGTGAACGTCTGTGCCACAGATGCAAAGGAGCTTGAACTATGTCCAGTAGATTGGTACGAAACAGAAAATAACAGGAAAAGTAGCGATTCAAATCGGCAACTTCGGCCCGTCCCGTACATTTAATAATTCGACAATTTCGTGTTTCCTTAACCTCAACGAGATTTGAACCAGGGTCGGGGTCAAAACGGTCGTCATTTTCGTCATCAGTACCCTCGAAAACGTATAAATCGATGACACATTGGAAATATAAAATTAAGTCCTATTTGACCCTCACAGGGCTTGAGCCTGGTTCCAGGGTCAAATGGATGTCATTTTCGTCATCCATCAACACCTCCGAAAACATTGGGAACAACGTCAAACTCGAAGCAAAAACTGTGGTCGTCTTTGATCCTAACGGTATTTGAACCCGGGTCTTGGGTCAAAATAGATGTCATTTTCGTTGTCAGCACCCTCAAAACATACAAAACAACGTCAAAGTTGAAATAAAAATTTTTGGCGTCATATACCCTACTGGAAATTGAACCTGGGTCCAATCTTCTCTGATTTGGTCGAAACCAGCACTGTTGAATTTGTCTGGTCACCCCGATTCCAAAAATACCCCAACATGCCTTTCTAGCTGCAGCCGTTGCCGAAATCGTCCTCCACCCCATGTAGACCAAGATGCACCTGCAGCAGCACCCCTGGGGCTCGGATCGAAAAAGGCGTCACCGGGCGGTTCTAAGGGTCACCCAAGGAGGCTGCATACCAAATTTGGAGAAGATCGGACCACGGGAAGTTCTCGGACGGACGGACGGACGGACGAACGAACGCACAGCAAGGATCATACTTTGTGCCCGTCGTCCGGTATTTATTCCATAAACAATACGGGACGGGCCAAAAAGCGACAATAATGTTTCTGCATCTGAACCGACATCTTGATCCTTTCTTTTGGTTTGAAAAGTGACACAACGAAAAGGCACGCAGAGGCGGCCACGCGATCCAAAAGGCGCTCAGAAGCGGCCCTGCAATGTAAGAGGCACGCAGTTTGCCCCGCGCCTTCCAAGAGACACGCAGTTACCGCTGGGGGGCCGCGTGGCAAACAACGTGCCTTTTAAATCGCAGGGCCGCTACTGAGCGCCTTTTGGATCGCGCGGCCGCTTCCGCGTGCCTTTTCGTTACTGGTGTCGATGTGAGCCCGCGTTGTTTTGGCCCTCGATGTTTGTCGAGAAATCATCCCCACCACCACCGTGCCCACCACCTAGGCGGCCTTATCCGCAAGTCCAGTTCAATTTTGAAACAGCAGCTTTCTTTCAAAATTAAAACAATTTGCTTTACGGAACCCAGAGCTGAATTAAAACCAAGCACAGTCACAAAAAGAGTTATCTTAAAATTCGAAGTGGTCTGAATTGGAGCAATTTCTTTGAACAAACGGAAATTGTCAAAACTCGGTCAAAACTTTGAATTGAAAATAATTTTTTGTATCACTCAGCTTGGTTTCACGTGGACAAACAACGTACCTAGGCTCTCTGGTTGGCTGAGCGATAGCGAAGCCCATGCCGTGAATAGGGGTCGGGAATCCATTGGTCGTGAGTCTGTCTACCTCGACGGTCCCTATCGATAGGCGCGTATCTTTGAGGCGCGTCAACGTAAGCGCGCTAGTCCGTCCGCCGCTTCCAAACCGTCGTAACTCGCCCGGGCCGCGACAAACCGTGCTACCTTTGCATCATTCCGTATCTAGACAACGCGCTTTGTCGGGGCTCCGGCGAGATACGACTGTTTGTCCCTGGCGGGCGGACTTGCGCGCGTACGTTCTCGCCTAGCGATAGGGACCGTCGATCTGTCTGTCTGTTGCGTTCCACTTTTCTCAGGACACTAATAGACGGATGCGGCTCAAACTTTGCATAAGTACTCTATACATACTAAATTACTATGTACTTTTTTGTGCATAAGCTTCGCACAAAATTTAATATGCGTCTCAATACGCACGAATTTTATGCGCAACAACGCACACTTTCGTGCTTAGTTACGCACAAATTCGTACGTATTGAAACGCATGTTTAATTTTGTGCGAAGCTTATGCACAAAAAAGTGCATAGTCATTTAGTGTGTAAATACCCAAGTAAAAAAAAATTACGGGGCCGTTTTGCGTTTCAGTGCGTTTGAAATAATAAGTAGGCGTTTAATTATCAGCATGAGCGCAGTTGGCTTTACATTCTGTTGGTAACACTGCTTTCAGCTGTTGCCCAGCAGGCGGCGCTGTAGTCGCTGTTGTTTGTTTACGTCTCAGTTTGAGCAGGGCGTGGCAACGGCCAAGGAGGCGCGTGAAGCGATGCTCGAGCGAGGTGCTTCGGTTACGCACTTGTTCGAGATTATGAAAACTAAGCTGGTGTTTGCAAAACACTCTTTGCACAGATCGAAAGAGCATGAAATTTAGGGTGCATTAGGCCCAGTGGCCTGCCTGAGTCCCCTCAATTTAGCCCACACAAGGGAGGCAACTTTTACATTGGGAAGGCGCGGCCGAAATTTTTCCTAAATTTTCGATTTGTCGTGTTTTTTGGTGAAAGTCCTTAAAATTTATAGTCGGTAAAACAGGAAGTATCGAGGAAGCCAATTAGCCTAATGCACATCTTCATTTCATGCTCTTTCCATCTGTGCAAAGCGTTTTGAAAACAGAGGCCAGGTTTTCATAATCTCGAAGCAGTGCGTAACCAGGCGTAACCCCTGCACCGAAGGCGCGAGCATCGCTTCACGATCTCCTTGGCCATTTCCACGCCCTGGTTTGAGTTTGTGAAACAGTGAAACTCAACATAAAAATGTAATCAGGGAAACAAAAATTAGGTTTTCGAAAGATAGAAGACCAGGCTGATTGATGGAACGGCAAAGGAAAATGATGAATGCAAACTCTCGATGTCACGCACTTACACTCGTCGCGAACCGGCTGGTCTCTCGGGATAAGTCCCAGTCCATCCCAGCTTCACTCTATTATTTTACTTGAGAAAACTGACAGGGCATTGCTCATAATGCTGTGAATTCCTTTCCATCTTCGTTCTTACTCACTTTCACAGTTAAACCATTGTTTTTCTATTTTATCTTGCTTACTACTTACTGATTTTAAGTGTCGTTGGATATTTGTGATTTTGATGAAACAAGATATCGGTTACTGACTGGTGACCAACCAATACTTTACGAAGATAAACGAGTAGGGATAAGATTCAACGGGGCCTTCCAACTGACATGGGTGTGATTCAAAGTGAATCGTTTCAATGCTGAGTGTAAAACTATAATCTATTCAATAATTATCTAATTAGCGCATTTTAATTTGAATGTAATTAGATAAAAGGCTCAACAAAAATTTAATCATCATTCGATATTTCTGGTTTTACTCTACGGAAAGAAACTAGTGCACTGGATATTGGATTAAATGATACGAGTCCTGCCAACTGGCTTGCATGTAACATTTAAATACAATTTTCAGAAAGGTTGAAATAAGCAATTAGCTCAAAAATTTTAAATTGATACATTGATTTGCATGGTACGTGTTCAGGAATAAAACTTTCAAAGATATCGAATGCTGACACGAACTTGAAAGTTAACATTCAAGCGATGCAATGTTAGTACTTGAACGTCCCTCGACAGAAATGATTGCAATGATGCTGCAGCAGGAACTAGTATCACAAACGGGGTCTTCATGAACACGTATAAGAAAAAAAATTCAAAGTTGAGGTGTACATTGATTCTTGGAGTGTACGGTGTGCTGATCACAAAAATAACGCTCAATTTGCTCTCAGACCCTTATTTTGACCCCAAATTGGCCAATTTCAGACCAAAATTTTTATGATGACTTTCACATTGATTCCTGTACTTTTCGATGTGCTGATCACGAAAATGACACCTATCACACTGAGAATGAAAGAGTCATGATCAGGACTAAAATTTTGGGTGAGGAATTCTTTCTTACCCAAATTTGGGTGAGGTAGGTTTCCTCACCCAAATTTGGGTGAGGAAGGTTACCTCGCCCAAATTTGGGTGAGAATGCTGTCAAGCCATATAGGTAGCTGACACCCTTCCTCACCCAAATTTGGGTGAGGAAATAATCCTCACCCAAATTTGGGTGATAAAGTATACCTCACCCAAAACTGGGTATTGATCAAGACTCTTTCATTCTCAGTGCAGACCTATATTTCTCCTCTTAATTGGCCAGTTTTAGACCAAAATTTTTATGTCAAGTTTTACATTAACTCCTGTAGTTTTGGGTGTGATGATCACAAAAATGACACTCTAATTTCTGTAAGACTGTTTCCACCTCAAATCGGCCAAAATTTGTGTCACGAAAATTAAGTTTACCGTACGACTTATGCTCCCCCTCCCTCCCGAGCACTAATTTAGAAGCGCATTTGTGCCTTGAGGGAAGGAACCTCGCCCACAAGGAAGGGCGCGGCACTGCTTTCCTCAAGTTTAATGGAACGACGTGTGAACCTTGTCTCAAGGCCAACCAAAAAGCCTGCTGAAGGCCGGCTAGCGCCGCAGGCCAAGATAGGTGGAACGCCAGGCGCAGATCGGCGTAACTGGCGTAGCAACGCCGAGACGCGGTCTGGCGTACACCGACCTTGTGAGGTGTTCGTCCGTGAGTCGAGTTGCGACAGCGATAAAACAAGCAACAAAATCAACAAAATGATACAAAGGTGCGTTTATCAGGTTTCTAATTGGTCCTATTCGACTTTTTGTCAAAATCTGCACTACTTCGAAAAGCGAAATATGTTTGATGGTGAGTACTTAAACAACCCCAAAATGCTTAATCAAGTTTTACTATTTACTGCTAAACTTTAAAAACTGTGATAATAAGGGGAAAATATGCTCTTGTGTAGCAGTGTGTGTTGAACTGCATCCAGACGAGTGTGGACCTACCTCATTTTAGTTTCTGAGTTATGGAGGTTTACGTAAACCTTAAGTCTTTTCCCCCAAATTCTCCTCACGACAAAGGAAAAGGTACCAGGCGTTTAGATTCTGGAAAAATTATTTGTAACTTTTGCCAAGGAAAAAGATAGCGTTGCCCTTTTTTTAATGTCTCCCTTAGTTTTCCCTGAAAAACAAAAAAAAATTGGCCGCGATGTGGCAAAATGTCTGAAACTAGAAGAAAAATAAAAACAGGCCTAATAATAAAGCTTTTAGGGCCTATTTTGGGCTGTTATTTTCAAATAAGCCAACGCTAATTTTTTTTAATGTCTTTCAAGGTTCAGTTGCCAGAATCTGAGCTTTGAGAACCTTCTCTTTTTGTCCTGAGGAGAATTTGGGAGAAACGACTAAAAGTTTACGTAAACCTCCATAACCCAGAAACTAGTGGGAGCTGGGGCCCCAACATTAGGAATAAATTCATCAAATAGTGTTTGAATATTAACCACAAGATGGAACTTCCTGGGTCAAATATTTCTCGGACACGCAAATATCACTTTACAGTATCCTTTAACTGGGATAGGATTTGCTAATACGAAGCGTGTTTTCTGCAAGTGTCAGTTCCCCAACCTAAATTTTAGAATTTCCACTTAACGGTGAACCAATCCAAATACGTAGGGCTAGATATCGTTCAAAATATACAAAGTAACTCTGTGAAGCGGCGGGTTACCTTTCGGCACGTCGGGCATCGCCGGTCGTTGAGGCGCCCCAGGCAGGATCGGCACAAGGAGTGCAGGCACGGCAGCGCCTTGGGCCGCACGTCCTGCAGGTCCCACTGGAGGAGGCACACGGGGCATTCCATGTCAGTCCCAACGCGCTGCAAACACGAGGGAGGAAGAAAAGAGCTCTAGACAGCAGAAGAGCGTGGAGAAAGGCGAAGGTTGAGTCCCAGGGCGAAGGGACGCACGTGATGCGGCAGCAGGGCGCTCTGGACGCGAACAGTAACAGTGTAGGATGAGGATAACTTGCGTTGCACCCACCGTGCGTTACACTGACACGGAACGGACGGCAGACGAACAGGGTTGCCAGACCCTGAGTAAGACAGTGACAGTGCGCCACAGGCTTGCCAGACACGGCCGACCCGAGAGCGCCCGGATCGCGCCCGGCCCGCTAAAGCGCCCGAGTGCGCCCGAGTACGTTCGAAGGCGCCCGAAGGCGCCCGGCCGGCCCCACAGGTCCGATGGCTGCCAATGCACCCGAAGTGCGCCCGAAGTGCACCGAGTGCATCCGAAGTGTGCCCGAAGTGCAGCGAGCGCATCCGAAGTGTACCGAGCGCACCCGAAGTGCACCCGAAGTGCGCCCGAAGTACTTCCAAGACCTGCCGACACGATCTCGTCCACCCGAAGATGTCCAAATCCGGGCGCGCGCCCGGTTCGAAGCTATTGCGCCCGTCGGGCGCCCAGGCGCCCGAGGCCATTTCTTCGGCGCCCGGAGGAACCCGAAAGCGCCCGGCGGGCGCCGAAGCGCCCGGTCTGGCAAGCCTGGTGCGCCACCAGAGCGCGCTTTGAGCAACACTGGGAGCCACAGAGGCCAAGTCGCCACAGATCGCCACTGGAGCGCTCACGTCGCCACTCAGGTTTGACCGGAAGTATTGTCTATTAGTCAGTTTAAAAAAGCTCATTCGCAGTTTGAACGAACTTCCCGCCTTTCTGCTTTGTTTCTATTGGTCAGTTTGAATTTTGACGGGTGGATCACATTCGTTATTCGTTTCCATGGGAATGATTTATTCATGTTTTTCGTATTGGAGCGTAACGTAGACAAGTTTTCGTTAATTTAATGAGTGTAAAGTTTGAATTTTCTACTGAGGCACATTTTGTCTTTGAAACGTTTCTCGATAAAACCAACGGTTAAGGGTGTATGATTGTTGAAGTTTTATGTTTTAACAAATTACACCAAATTTCCACGATAAATTTTGAAAAACTTTTCGCTACCTTTATTTTGTTATTGTAACGAATAATTTGGCTGAAGTCATTTTCAAAAACCGATTAGGAAATAAAAAAATTCCAATGCTAACGCATTGCACGGTGATCCGGGATTGAAACATCTATTTGAAGGTTGTCGTTTAGTTAACACTGTTTGGAAAGTTAAATTTATTTTCGTCGGTTGGCAACAATATAGTCAGCGTCTGCGCCCTTTAGAAAATCGCAAGGCCGAAGAAACGAGTAGTCACGCTTACGCATCAAAACTGCCCCTTCATTGTTGTTGAGGCGGAATTGTTTGGCTTGCTCTTTAAGGCTGCGGTTCTCAATTCATGTTTTCGTCAATTCTGTGCAATAGTTCTCACTCACTATCTAACTACGATAGGACGGTTGATTTGGCAAACTTCCTTTTCTCGGGAGGGACGGTTTCAACGCGGGTGATACTCTACAAACTGAAGTGTGTACTCAGTATGCATCACTCAGTATGCATCTACACATGCATACTTGCAAGTACACACCTACAGATGCATACTTGGATAGTACACATCTTCAGATGCATACTTGGCTGAGTACACATGCACAGATGCATACTTGGCTGAGTACACACCTACAACGTATGCATCTGTCTGTACACCGTGTTGTCCGCCGAGGAAATCTTCCTCGTGGGGTGGGATTTCTAGGAAGAAGGGTTTCAGGCCGAACAAGGGTCCGAGTAAGCTCCCCAGCGGAAAATGTTCCCGGGTGGCTTCGGGTGGGGACTGCGGTTCGAGTGCACTCGGGCAGCGTTGCCAGAAGTGGGACTTTTCCGCTCGCCGTGGCCGGCCGGGGCCGGCAGAGCGGGAGCTTTCTCGGTGGTTACTTGCGCGCAGTGTGGCCAGACTTGGCGATTTGTCGCCAAGCTGGCGATTTTTGGTACGGTTTGGCGACAATCTGGCGACTGGTGATTGTTTTGGCGACTCAAAAACAATTTGGCAAATTCTTTTCGCGATTTTTTGCGATTTCTTTTAGAAACGAGCGAAAAATCTGTCTGCAGGTCTGGTGAGATGCCTTATCGCGCGTTTGTTTGTGTGGGTTGAGGGTTCGCCCCAGCCCGGCCGGACCCCACTTCTGGTTCCGTGAAATCCGCCCGGGAGGAAAGGGGCGCTGAGGCATAATCCTTAGGCCGTCAGCACTTGGGGCAAGGACCTAGCATTTAGTGAACTTAAATAAAAAGGCAGAAACTCTTGAGTATTGTTAAGTAGTTTTTTCGGGTATTAACGACCTATGAGCCAACTTGGTGATTATTGAGGCGATTTTGCTCGGGCGTCAAATTTTTGGGCCCACTTGGCGATTTGTGCTCATGCGTCAAATGTTAAAGCAACCTGTCGATTTCGGTGGCGGTTTTTCCCAGGACCAAAATTGGCGATGGATGGACTTGGCGATTTAAGGGGCAATTTGTGCTCTGGCGCCAAAAAATTGCGATTTTTTTTCCCGATTTGTGTTCTGGCGCCAAAAACTGGCGATTTTCTTGGCGATTCGAGCGGTGGCGACTTTTGACGACTCGAGCGCCGCCTGGCCTGGTGGCGACTCGGGGCGCTCGACATCTGGCCACACTGCCAGCGCACTGGTAGCCAACGAATGTGACGTCACGTTCGTTTCCACGTGAAAACGGCGATGTTAGTTTGAACGTGACAATCGGTGGAAATTTACAGTCAAACAAATGTGACACACCGCACAGCTTTGTCACATTACTTCGGGTGTGACACGCAATCAGCAGGGAAACTGTCACATTAAAACGAATGTGACACATGGTACTCATCCTAACAAATGTGACACCCATGCACTGTCACGTTCGTTTGAATGTGACACGCTATGTTGTCAGATTATGGGGGTGTCACGTTCCTTTGGATGTGACAATTAGGGCATGTCACATTCAAACGAACGTGACAGTATATGGGTGTCACATTCGTTTGGATGTGACTCGACATTATGTCAATGGGTACCATGTGTCACATTCGTTTTAATGTGACAGTTCGCCTGCTGCTTGCGTGTCACACCCGAAGTAATCAGACAAAGCTGTGCGGTGTGTCACATTCGTTTGACTGTAAATTTTCGCCGTTTGTCACGCTGAAACAAACATCGCTGTTTTCACGTGAAAACGAACGTGACGTCACATTCGGTGGCTACCAGTGCGTTGCCAGATGTGGCGATCTTGCGCCAGCGTCGCGATGTTTCGGCCGAAGTGGCGGCGACGGAAATTTCCCGAGTGGCAACTGGCGACGACGGTGGCGATCTGGCCCGCCGAATGGCGACTTCGGGGAAAAGGTGGCGATGTGGCGATTTCGGCTGTGCCGCTCGGCCACCCGGGCGGATTGGGGCCTTTCCCTCTGCTCGCCGTTGGCGAGCCGGGAAGGAAATTGCCGGCATTCGTGCCCATCTGCCAGCAGGCAAGAAAGCACCGGGGGGATGGGGAGGGTACAGTGGCCATTTAGCGCCAAATCTAACACTATGCCGCCGCCATCCAAGCAACCGGTCTACAAGATGATCGCCATGAAACGCCATGCTCAGCATCGCCATTAACGACAAGGTAGGTGTACGCCAGACCGTGTCTTGTCGTAACAGGCTTCGCGATGCTGAGCCAGTTACGACAATCCACGCCTGGCGTTACACCTCTTGGCCTGCGGCGCTCGCTTGCCTTCGGCAGGCGTCTTGTCCATATGTCGGCATACGAATCGGTGTGATCACGAGTCGAACCAGCATTCGGATTTTGGTTTTAAGCTAGGGGGCCTCCGCCCCCCAGATCCCCCTTTCGGGTCTGGAGAGTCAGAGTGTTTACTGATCAGAGTGCCTGACGTGTATAAGCTCGGCACCCTCGAGACCTGTCGGGATTCGAACTTGGGGTCGGGGTCAAAATGGATTCCATTTTCGTCATCAGCGCCCTCAAAAACTAGGGAACGATGTCAAATTTGAAATTAAAAGTTAAGTCGTTGAAAAGTTGTTTCGCCACGTTTCGTCCACTTTTGCTGGCCACGTTTTGTCCGAAAGTTATCCCCACCACTTTGGCTCGGGACGGGCTCCGCCGGCCGGTGCCTGCCATCGCCAGCCCGGGACTGACCCTCTCAGTAGGGATTATGGCGGCCTAATCGGCCGGCCCAGCTCAATTTTGAAAACACAATTTGCGTTCACTTTTCGAACATTTTGATCAACGGAACGTGTCGGCAACCTAAAACCGAGCAAAGTGATATAAAAAATTATCCTAAAATTGCAATTTTTAACCGAGTTACGGCAATTTCCGTTTGTTCTCGAACAAACGGAAATTGCCGTAGCTCGGTCAAAAATTTGAATTTTAGGGTAATTTTTTATATCACTTTGCTCGGTTTAAAGTTGCCGACACGTTCCGTTGGTCAAAATGTTCAAAAAGTGAACCCAAATTCTGTTTTCAAAATTGAGCTGGGCCGGTGGATAAGGTCGCCGTAATCCCTACTGAGAGGGTCAGACCCAGGCCGGCGAGCTAATTGACACAAGCTCCGGATCGCAGCACCCTATGAGAATTAACGCAGGGGCGCTTCACAGCGCTCCTCCCATAAGTTCAATGACGTACCAGGTACCAGGGTAACTTTCTTCGCCTCTTTATACAATACGCACATTACTTCAAAACGCCAGGGATTTATTATATTAGAGAGAGGGCAGCATTCCGTCCTCGCCGGACTCCCTCATTCCGCACGAGGAGCGAGCGACGTGCCGGCCTTAGAGACCCTCCCGTCAGAGATGCGCAAGCCAGCGCTTGGTAGTCCCGTGGAGTCAAAGGCACCCTGAGTCAGGCTAGCGGGCGGCCGCCGTATACCTGCTGTGCCGCACCAGATGCTGACCTGCGTAGCCTCGCCCGGGGCGAATTCGGGCTTCCCGCTCCGCATGGGACTACCAGTCGTCTGTGATTGGCTGAGAGGGCCCCCCTTTGCGCATCTCTGACGGGAGGGTCTCTAGCCAGGAACGGTTAGGGGACCACAAATCGGCGCGGCGCAGGTCCCCTTCCGAGCGCGCCCGAAGTCCCCCTCGCCGAGCGCGGCCCGAAGGCAAGCCCGAAGGTCCCCGTGGGTATTCCGAGGATGGGGATAACCCCGGACCCTCGGGCGATGTCTCCACCAGATGTCTCCGTGGCTCCGGGGTACCACCTCTGCTACGGCCTCTAGTATTGGTGGTTCAAACACTGGCCTGTTTTTGATTTTTCGGTTTCACCCACCCATTTTAGTTATGTTCAAATTTTAGGTTGGACAATATGTTTTAAGAATATTAAGGTTTGGTTTATATATGGTACGTTAGGTTACGTAAAGTTGGTCAGGTCGCAAGTGACCGAAACTTGTCGCGACTATAGCATGAAATATTTTGAGAATAGAGTAGGCTAAGATCTGTTGACATTAGAAATAGATCTGCCGCGATGAGAATAAGATCTGTAGCGAGCCCGTTTGGTTTTGATTAGGATAGGTTGGACAAATTATTTTAAAAATATTAAGGCAGCCTTCTGTCCACACCAACATACTACAATTTCCTTCTGACGAACATGCATTTCCATCTGCAGCAGATTCTAGCTCTGCATCGAAGCCGAAGATCTTCCCCTGGCTAATAGATGTTAAAACTATTAGCATTTAGGTTATTTCGATGATTATGTCTCCTTCGAGCCCCAGGTTGCCGTGCTCGGCACGGCGCAAAGTCTCCTTCGGCTCCGGCCGCTCGGCACTCTTCGGCACCGCTCGGCTCGGCCGCCAGGGGGACCTGCGCGGCGGCGATTTGTGGTCCCGTATCAAGACGTCTCTAGCCGGCCTGCAAGGCAGCCAGCCTGGACGCGGCCGCCGGCCGATCGGTCTGTCTGCCTGCAGCGCGTGCCGAGCGCAGCCAAACCGTAGCCTGCCCTCCCGGCCCCCGCCACCACCCCCCGTTCAGTGCGGGCGGGTATCAAAGATATCCAGAAAAGTCGGGGGCTCCGGAGTGCTAGTGTCTGCGCGGACATAGACCACTTTTGCCCCGCTTGGAATTTCGCGATGCAACTTGGTGGCTGTACGAAGTATTAGTTTGCGCAGGAAATGACATATTTTATTTTCTCCCGAGACTTGAGGGGGCTTCGTAGCGGATGGCAAAAACACAGGGCAGTTTTCAAGGTTTTTCAAGGGCTCTGCAGGGTGAACTAGGCCCTGCCGCGAAATATAAAATATGTCAGTTCCTGGAGGAGGTCAACGCGAATCGGAGGATAAGGGAGGGTGGGGCAGTTCGTAACAGGGGCAGTTCGTAAGAAGCACTCATATTAAAGCAATGGTGGTTCCTGAAGGAAATGTGCGTGTAACCCATCTTTCATTTTCAGTATTTTATTGATTTGCAATCAACACGGTCTTGATCGGTGCAATTTAATGGCCTTGAGAAGGGAGTAAAAGTGCGCTACCATTGAAATCTGTCAAATCTTAAATTTCTATGTCACGGGATTTTTCGTCTGGGTTCCCCCGGTAATCGATCATCCCCCACGGACTCGTTTCATCTTTTAGCATCATATTTGACGAACGTAACGCACCCTCGGACATTGAAGTAGCCCTCACCAAGCCTGGCAGGGAGCAGCATGAGTTGAATTGTGCAGTCTGGGGTAGTTTGTAACAGATGTAGATGGGGCACTTCGTAACAACGCGAAATCTCTTAAAACGATCCTTTTTCAACGTGGAATGCATGCATAATGATAATACTTTGAGATTCTAGAACGCGTCAATTGAAATTTTTTCCATTTGACCCACATTAGCATCCAAATGCACCATTTGTGCACCTTTAGTACGTTGTAAACCTTAGATGCTGCAAAACGTTTTTATTTCAACTCATAATCAATAATTTGTGTTTACATCTTTTGATCGTCTCTCTGAAACGAACTCATTGCCATAAGCATATTTGTAAATTTGCATTTTGAAAAAAAAAAACACCTTTTTTTACGCTTCCATTAAAATGCTAAATGTTCAAAAAGTACGTGAAAACGTCAACATTTGCATGACAAGGTCTATTTGAGTATTTATCAGTTTTGTGTGCGGCCCTTACTGCACTGAGAATGAAAGAGTCATGCTCAGGACTAAAATTTTGGATAAGGAATTCTTTCTCACCCAAATTTGGGTGAGGTAGGTGTCCTCACCCAAATTTGGGTGAGAATGCTGTCACCCAAATTTAGGTGATAAAGTCTACCTCATCCAAAATTGGGGTATTGATCAAGACTCTTTCATTCTCAGTGTGGCCTTTGTTGACTGCCATACAGCTGTTACAAACTGCCCCACTGCTGTTACGAACTACCCCGGCCCGGGGCAGTTTGTAACAGATGCAAGGGTTTGAGTTTCGCCCTATTATTCACGTTCAGTGAGCTTGGGAGCGTCTGCGGGCGTTTTTCAGTCTAGATAATGAGTGAGACTATTAATCTAGCACAAACACGCAACCGACAGACAAAAACCACGTCTTTGACTTTAAAATTCCAAATTCTGTTACAAACTGCCCCACCCTCCCTTACTCCAGTAACAAATGGTACTCAGAGGCTTTCGGGTTCCGGGCGCCGAAAACTTTGTCTCGGGCGCCCGACGGGCGCAACGCCTACGAATCGGGTGCATTCGGCTGCCCGCGGTAGAAATCCCCTTCCTGGGACAGGATTTCCCGGAAAAGGGGTCCGTCGCCGGCCAAATTTAGACAAACAAGCATGAAAATGTGGTCCCCTGCGGGAAATTCCATCGGGCGCTCTCGGGCGCGGTCGTGGTTTGGGCGCGCTCGGGCAGCGTTGCCAGACGTGCCACCTTGGTTGTACATGTGTGACTATGGCTGATTCCGTACCACCTTTTCGGGAAAAACGCCGGATTATGTCCGCTCCAGGCTAAGGGAACTTTCCGGGCGCCTGGGTCGAGTCGTTGCCCCCTGCTGACGGGCACGTTAATCCTCTGCCTGTTGGGGCACCTGATCCTGACCTATTCCACGGGACGGTGTTCCACGGGAAGGGGGTGGGGTAGGGTATCCGGCCAGACGCGGAAAAACTTAAAGTGCAGTGGCACTGTTGTGTTGGTTGCCCCATGCACCCAGGAGCTGCTGCTGCTGTACATGACGGACATCTACCAGCAGCGGGAGCAGCGTGGCCATGTGCAGGAGGTGGATGCACTGAGAAAACAAACGTGGTCAATTCCGCACGAGGTGGTGCGGTCAAATGTTTTGAAGATTTGACCACGTTTCATGATGCGGTCATCGCACTTCGAAGCGCAAAGGTGGTCAAGCTTATCGATGTCCTATCCTTTAACATCGGCGCAAACGTGGTGGATTCCGCGTTTGGTGATGCGGAGACGAGAATGACCTCCGCACCACACGTGCGGAATTGGCCGCATTTGTCTTCTCAGTATTCGGAAATTAAACGATCAGGTTGGATAGCCTTTAAAAAACCGCACCCGCATTTAAATTTCCCGCGTAGCGCACTGCCTTCTAAACATAGACAATCAACTATATCCATAGACCAACTGCTTCATGCCCAGGCTGGGATCCATGTGTTACGCCGCTCCCTGATTGGTCGGTACCTTTCACTTCACTGGTCATTGGTCGGCTGTGGTCACCAAGCTGCCTCGGCAGCGAACGCCGCGTCCTGGTTGGTCGAGGAGTCTCGAGCTCCGCCAATCAGGGCGCGGCGTCCGCTTGCCGTGGCAGCTTGGTGCAGTCGATGCCACACTTGTGGACCTGTTTATACCACTTTAAGTTGATGTTCAGCTACTTTCAGTGGTGAAAAAGAAGCCCACATAAATGAGAAATGTCATCAACCGGCTCGATTTTTAAAATGAACTTTAACTTTAGAGCCTCAGAGGAAGTTTTACGGAGGAACACCGCTCGTGCCGCTCGTGCCGACAGCTGATTGTTTGTTTTGAACTTGGTATTTATACCAACAAGCTTTGCTCAAAAACCAAGAGCCAGACACATAGATTTGAACACGCTGAATGCAATCAGACCACCATAATTTACATTTGTCGAGTTTGAACCTAGAAATGTTGAAGTGAAAGGTACCGACCAATCAGGGAGCGGCGTAACACATGGATCCGAGCCGGGCATGAAGCAGTTGGTCTATGGATATAGTTGATTGCCTATGCTTCTAAAATCTCTCTGCCCCCCCCCCTCGCCCCCCATGTACCACCTTTCCCCCACCCCTCGCGTACCACCTAAGAGCCCCGAAGTACCACCTTTTCCCCCCTCCCCGTACCACCGAGCGCCGTTCGGCTTCTGGGAACGCTGCGGCAAGCCTGCTAGTGCTATTACAATATTCGTCCTGCTTGCGTCGCGTTCGCGGTGCATCTGCTCTCTACGAACCAGCTTCATCTTCCAACTCCGATAACTAACCTGCAGTACGTGGGAGAGAATAGGTGTGTCAGTGGGACGCCGTGGTCACGTGCTCGAGAAACTGCGTCGGAGGTAAGTCCTGTGCACTCCAGTCCATGTTGGCGGAAGTACACCATAACGTGACATGGAAAGAAGACACTTGTTGAATGCAACGGTCAGAATTTGGTATGCCAATCGTTCATAACTTATGTGGGTCATTCTCCAGAAATGTTACAATTTGAGGTCCCTTCCTCTTTGCGACCGAACGGTTCGTCCTAGAGAGACGAGGTTTGAGCGAGAAGATAGTGCTTCTGGTGCCTCGATATAATCCACAATTGGGTTTGGAGATTTCACAAGGTTTTCAAGTGGTTGTGGCCTCCAGAAGGTGCAAAATGTAAACTCCGTAGTTGTCCTGATGCATAGTGTACTTTGTTTGCGCCTCTCGTATGACACACAGGACAATCGTTCCCGAGGGCTGTGCTTACCAAGGCACTCTTATACTTCAACTTGACCGTCCTGATGCATAGATTACTTAGTTTACTTAGTTTGCGCCTCTCGTATGACACACAGGACAATCGTTCCCGAGGGCTGTGCTTACCAAGGCACTCTATTACTTCAACTTGACCGTCCTGATTTACAAATTAAATTTGGAGCTTCGCGCTTGCACAGAATTAACATTTGTCCGGACCTTCTTTCTTTCCAATAATTCACGTGTTCACTTCTTCGAATTTGGCACTCCACGAGACAAACGGAAAGCCGCAGTCTCGTTTTGAGGTTTGATGTGGATTCCGGATGCCCAGACACCAAGTTTGAGCGATGTGTGTTCAATGGACGGCCACAGATTGGTACTCAAATTTCAAAAGAGGTACGCGTATTTTTTGTGTTTGTAAACTCCGTACGGACTCCGTATAGTACCCTATTTGCCACGGATCCCCTTTGCGACAAATTTTCGAAATTGCATGGAAACAATGCCTAGGTGGTTCTCTTATCAGCTGAGTATGGGCGTCGTGTTATTTCCACTTGTACGGCTGCAATCCACAAATTTGCTTTAAAATGTAAACTCCGTAGTCATTTTAAAGGGGAAAATCCAATGTTCCTCGAATCTGGTAACGATCGATGTTGTTTCACATTGTGCATTCCGTGACGAGAAAAACGAACCCTATATGAACTAAATCGGACAAATTTTAATTTTTCAGAGTTTCAAACGCCAAATTGTAACATTTTTGAAGAATGACCCATTTGCAAAGCATTTGTACCGTTTTGGTCACGTTTACAACAAATTTAAAATCTGCTTCTGACGGTATGATTCCATATTGTTGTCAAGAATTGATAATCTCAAGTGGAGATCCTTCAGCAGTTATGTCATGCAATAATTTGTTTTCTTTTAGTAGTCGTATGGTTAATTAGTGGTTTATTGGGACTTGTTAATGTAATTTACTGCATGACCTTGAAGAAGTTCTTGATGGGGTTGGACATATTTGGAACCGTATGTTGGTTGCATATTTGAAAAGACTTAAAGTGTTGCTGCCAGAATTTATAACAACAGTGCTGTATAAATTTTCTTGCAGTCAACGGGCCGAGTGAAAATCGTTCTCCAATGGCGCTGTGGGCCAAGACACAATCACTTCCTCCAGAGGCATTGCAGCAGGTTCGAGCCATTTATACAGACCGCTTCCCTATTTAAGTACGTCATATCTTAGCATCATGGATCGAAGAAAAAATGTGGTAAGTGTACGCACTAGATGTTTATGTACATACATTGTCCAAAACTATGTTTTGCCGTATTTCTGCAGCTGTAAGCTATGTACAATTTTATACTTAAACTAGGGACAATATTTCCATATTGTGCTAAAGGGGAGGTTCGGGTGAACATCTTGCTTTTCTTCAAAATGGGCCCCACTGTGAAAATTTGTTAGAAATGTAAAGTCTTGCGACATGAAGATTAAAATTTTACATTGGAAGGCACATGCCATGCCCTACACCCAGTCAAAGAGCCTTTTTTGTCTATTTTGGCTTCATCTTCAAAAGTTTCTTGCGCATACTTATTTTGTCGTTAAAGGTTGGCCTCGACATTTTTCACTTCTTCGATTCATTTTTAAAAGATTCCGGCATACACTACTCGAGATGTCCATTACATAAGTAGCGACAGTCTTTTTAGGCAGAGCATTTGACTATGATTGACAAAAGTGAACAATGCAAGTTTTAGTGACATTCCAGCTTTTAAAAGCTTGTCAATGATAATGTAGTGGACATTTTGAGTTGTGTAAGCCAAAACCTTTTTAAAATGAATCGGAGAAGTGAAAAATGTCTGGGCCAACCTTTTGCGACAAAATAGTGTGCGCAAGAAGCTTTTTTAAGATTTAGCCAAAATAGGTACCAAAAGGCTCTTCCACTTGATGTAGAGCATAGCATGTACCTTTAAATGTCAAATTATAATATTTCTTTAGTGATATTTCATATATTAAACAAATTTTTGCAGTGGGACCAACTTTGAAAAAAAAAAGCAAGATTTTCACCAGAACCTCCCCTTTAGTGTTTATAAAATAGTACCCAATTTTTGTACATATTTGTACATGACCTGCGCAAATACTGCAAGAGTTATGGACAAAAAGTCCTTCAGCATTTAGTGTGTAGTAGCATCTCCTCAGTTACTTTTCTAGTTCACAATTTTCTTATATTTAGTTTTGTTTGCAGGTGTTTTGAGATTGAGGCAGATAATCCTCATCATGGGCAGTATGCTGCAAGTACTGTTGTGGCGGATTTAATTCACCTACTGGAAACAAAGGCTAATTCCATGAATTCAGAGGACCTCTTAACAACAAAGTTTATAATAATGGACTTTGCTGATGCTGTCAAGGTACTTGTTATTTAACACGGTGAAACCGGAGTCTGGTTTCCCAAGGGGCTTGCACCTTTTTCCAGGAGGGTTCCTGAGAACTCACAGCAAATTTTCAAAATTGTGCAAATGGACTTTGCTTAACAGAAATGGATTTGTCTCTTCAAAACAAACAAAACTGTCGACACATGTCGGAGGCTTTGATGCGAAATAAGGAAGTATTTGAGCTTTAAAGGTGCCTAAAATCGATGTATTTTGAATCTCTAGGGAAATTTTGAACGTTTGAAGATCAACTACTTTCTTACTACGCATACAACCCTATGACATGTATTGACAATTTTTCGTTTGTCTTATCAAGACGAATCCATTTCTGTATAGCGAAGTCAATAGACACCTCTCGCAGAACCCAGAGTGAAGAAGGAGAACCCAGGCCGGAAACAGTTGCCAAATATCGCTTCTTTGTTCATGATGAGTGTTCATTCTCGATCCAAAAATTCAAGAAATGATTGAACATGATTGAATATGATTTAAACCTGCAAAACACCCGTGAAAAGGGCCGATTTCTTGTACTGTTTCCGGTCTTCGTTCCGCTTCTAGAAGTGTCCACTTCTAGAAGTGAACAATTTTGAAAACTTGCCGGAAGTGCCCAGGATCCTTTCTGGAAAAAGTCGCAACCTTCTGGAAAGACCAGACTCCGTTTTCACCATTAGCGGTTGATGTTTCACGTAGACTTGTTACTATATCTTTGTCTTGTTCACAGCAACGCTATGCTCGATGTCCTCTGGATTTGTTTCGGCTAGTGCGCCATTGCCTGAATTCAGAGTTTAAAGTTATACAACAAGTAGAAAATGTAAGCTTATTTCTCTCGATCGCAACACGAACTAGACACTGTCGGTTCTGCTCTGTTTAATGGTAGTTTTTATCCTTCTAGGTCCCGATGGGCTCAATGACGCCTGGACCAGGTTTAATGCCAGACTCAGCTGCTGTAATAGCACAGCAAGTAGATGTCTTAAGGCATCGCACTACAGAAACTGGTACACTTCTCCGACAAGTGGAACAGGAACAAGAGAATTTTGCCCTCCACTACCATGAGTGCACCAAACTAAAAGGTATAAAATTTATTTTGTAAAGCGAGGTTGAATAATGAAGATTCCCAGTCATGACTTTCAACTTTTCACTAATCATCATTTTGAATTTCTAGCTCATCTTCAACACCTGCAATCACAGCAAATAAATCAACAAAATATAGAATTGGAAAAAACGGTTAGGCGCCAAAAAGATATTTCAGAACAAACTTTAAATCAAAAGGTACCTCTTGGACATTGCACATTCATTTGCTTCCGCACATTGCCCTTAGTTTTACTGAGCTCTGGTGTTTTATGGTTCGATCTTCAGGTATCCAGTCTTCTTCGGCTCAGACTTCAACTATCTGAGAAACTCTCAGAGACGGTGACGCTCCTTGTAACCTTGCAGTGCTGGGTTTTAGACGAAGAATTGATCCGATGGAAAAGAGAGCAGCAGCTTGCAGGAAATGGAGCTCAGTTCAACAGTAATTTGGATTGTATCCAAGATTGGTATGAACACGTGTTTCAAAGTAAGGGGGTACTAGTTCACTTAGCAAGGTTATAGTAAAGGAGTGTTATCACGAATTATTTGCGGACAGGGAAAGTAAGGTACGTCAGAACTGAGTATGGGAACTCATTTTAATTTCATTTTGGATGAAAATCACAAATGTGGATAGAGTTTGAAGCAGCAGTTACAACTTCCTCAAAATCACTTTTTTGAATACTACGGTATTCAGGGTTCATGCCAAAATTTTTGATTGATTTGGATGTGATTTTGCACGGACACGCTAAGAACCCGCAATTCTCGCTTAGGTGGAAAATTGCAACAATTTTTTTAAGTGTATGAGGCGCCAGTTAAAATTGTTTTCCTAATGTTTTACCTAGTTCACGGGAGAATGACCGGCGTTCTGATCGTTCACACCAAGTTTGAACCTTTCTGGGTCCTACCACCGGTTAGTCCGAACCCCGTATACCAACGGACTGTGTATTTGTTGCAGTGGTTTAGAGAAAATCGCCGAAAAAAGCCGTAACTGCTGCTTCCGACGCGTTTCAGATTGAAGATTTTCACATAAAAATTAAAGTAAAATAAATAAGCATCATCTGTTTTGACGGCCTTTTCTTCCCCCGTCCGCAAATCACAAAACCACGGAAATTTTTGTCCTTGCTTAGTCTGCTAGCCCCGTAAAACTGTCTGAAAGGTTTATTCAATGAACATGCCTTTCTTTTTATCGCAGGTGTGAAAGTCTCGCTGAAATTATCTGGCTCAACCGCCAACAGATCAAAGAACTGGAGCGCTTGAAACAGAAGTTGACATTGGAGCCACCGGGTGTTGTTAATGTCTTGCCAAATCTATGTATTCAAATTACTGAGCTTCTTTCATCTCTAGTCACAAGGTAATTTCAAATTTTGTTCTAACTTCTCTTAACTATAAACTTCAAATCCATAATGAAACATTTGTTTCAGCACTTTTATTATAGAAAAGCAACCTCCACAAGTTATGAAAACCAACACTAGATTTACATCTACTGTTCGCTTATTGGTTGGAGGTAAACTGAATGTTCACATGACTCCACCCCAGGTAAGATAATGCGATTCTCCTTTTTTTCTTCTATTTTCCATGATAGGGTAGTTAGTGGATTATTTTCTATGCTCTGTGTTAGGTCAAGGCAACGATCATTAGTGAAGCTCAAGCAAATGCACTTCTTAAAAACGATATTGTTGCTAAAGGAGAAGCCGGTGGTCAGATTTTGAACAACATCGGGACAATGGAGTACCATCAGGCAACACGTCAACTGTCAGTTAGTTTCAGGTAAACTTCGTCAAACTGCTCACAACTAAGAGAGCGCATTTGGAAAACAAACGTGGCTGATTGCGCACGAGGTGATGCGGTCAATACAAGGTTTCTTAGTAAACGAAGTTAACTGTATATTTCCCTATTCAGAAACATGCAACTGAAGAAGATAAAGCGGGCCGAGAAAAAAGGAACTGAGTCCGTAACGGATGAAAAATTTTCACTCCTGTTCCAATCTCAATTTTCAGTTGGTGGTGGTGAACTTGTATTCCAGGTAAGTCCGGTCAGATGCTGTTTTTGTCGTGCCCTTTGCAATGCTTGACTTCAATATTTTTGATTTGCAGGTGTGGACCTTATCTCTTCCTGTTGTGGTTATTGTCCATGGAAACCAGGAGCCCCATGCGTGGGCCACTGTCACTTGGGACAATGCTTTTGCGGAACCGGGTCGTGTTCCTTATGCTGTACCTGATAAGGTCTCGTGGTGCCGCGTAGCTGAAGCACTCAACACGAAATTCCGCTATGCCACTGGAAGACCTCTTACAGAAGCAAATTTGTGTTTCCTTGCAGAAAAGGCATTCGGGTACAAGTTCACATTATTTTCCGTGGGTGGGGAAAAATCGGACACTGCAGGACCGGGGAAAAATCGCACAACCCTTTTTTTTGACTGAATTGTCTCATTTTGAAACCAGGAAATTCTTCTTGCTAGTAAATGGCACTCTTCACTAACGCGCGTAATAGCATTAGTTAGTCTCAAAACAAGGGAATCCAGTCCAAAAAAATGGAGCGTCCCATTTTTCACCACCGCAAAGTGTTCGGTTCGCTCCCGCACTGTAACTGACCCTATGTCATGTATTGATTGCAAGCAGTAAGAATTTGCAGGATGACCTTCAACGATAATAATTTGTTTTCAGAAGCCCAAACACGTCAGATCTCCAAAACCAGATGCTTACATGGTCACAATTTTGTAAAGAACCACTTCAAGATCGCAGCTTCTCATTTTGGGAATGGTTTTACGCTGTCATGAAACTCACAAGAGAACACCTGCGAGGGCCTTGGACGGATGGGTGAGGCGAATTGCAATTAATGTTTCAACGATTGTGTGGATGGGTTTCTAATTGATTCTATGTTCCAGGCTTATTTTGGGCTTCATCCGAAAGAAACAGGCGCAGGATATGCTTATTGCGACCAACACAACGAGCACCTTCCTTCTACGATTCTCAGATTCTGAACTTGGTGGCATTACCATAGCATGGGTTGGAGGTAAGTCAAAACAAATGTTTAAATGGCTATTACAACAAAGCAATGTATTTTGAGTGAAACCCTTTTTGTTATCTTTTCTTTCTCCCCTGTTTTTAGATGGAGAGTTAGGTTCTCAGGTGTTCATGTTGCAACCCTTCACTCACAGGGACTTTGCCATCCGCAGTTTACCAGACCGCATTGCTGATTTGCAACATCTTGTTCACCTCTATCCTGATATCCCCAAAGACCAGGCCTTTGGGAAGTACTACACGCTACTTGGTACGTAAAAGCACTACATAACCGCTGGCTCATGAATTTCCTCCAGCAGCTTGGTAATTGTTTCTTCCGCCCATTTCATTACTTATTTTACTTCTTACCTTACAGAGGATCAGCCAACTTCAAACAATGGTTACGTGAAACCTTTCTTGGTGACCCATGTTCCTGGCTGGGGAGGGCCTGGTCCAAGTTCCACTCCAAGTTACCCCAACACACCCCCCGACATGTTCCAAGCTCCATCCCCCGAGGCAGGTTCGGCCAGAGACACTCCATCTGTGGCCAGTCATGTTTCTGACTCGGTAAACCGGTCCGTGGACTATGATCAATTTCCACAACACTTCCCTCAGCTCTGGGCATACACATAATGTCGTAGACCTGTATCCAAGAATTTACTTGTTGATTGAAGAGCGATTGTGACGTTGATTGCAGTTTTGGCATGACCAACTTTCCAGCATAGAATTTTTTTTCCTACAAGTAGTACCCAACCGATTGGAACCCTACACTATTTCGTCCTAGCATGTACCCGGCAGTGTTGGCTGCATATATTGAATAGTTTCTTTTAATGTGTGACGATAGTAGCTGTGTCGCTAGTCTTCTATACTTTGTATGTAAATATTTAAACAAAATAAAATGTATGGTACGTGTGTCTCCAGTCACATCAGGCTATTTATTTTTCATATATGTCTATCAAAAGTTATGTGCGTCGTATGAGTGAATACAGTTTCGACTGAATCCAGTTATGTGAGTTGCAAAGGATGCCTGTTGAAGGCGACTCGTCCTAAACTAACCAGGAACATGCTACTAGCACCTTGAAACAGTTCCACTCAAATAAAATCAAGGATAGAAACATGATGACACAATTTATTACGATCGAAAGCACTTCTACAGCAAGTATTATATAGATCCTATACTCAAATTCATACGAACAACAATAATTCATTACTCAGTAGTTTCTTCAAAGTAAAAATTCATTCGTTGAACAATTGAGATTTTAAAAGGTCCTTAACTGGAATTATAAAACATGCACAGCCAGTCGAGTGCCGCCTTCGCGTAGCCTCCAGTGTTCTCGTTAGTCCTGCCTTGGAGGTACAGTCACCAGTCGCTGTCGTCGCCGCTGGTGTCATCGCTCTCGTCGTCGGTGGGGACGGGGTCCTCGTCCTCGCAGTCGGAGGGCGCCAGGCAGGCGGGGTCCTCGCAGCGCTGCGGCTCCTCGTCCTCCAAGCCCCCCCACCGCAGTTTGCGGCGTGCCAACCTCACGCCCAGCTTCTGGACGCGCAGAGCGGGCCGCGCGCCGCGCAGCGCCACCAGGGCGGCCCGGCCCAGCCGCGTCAGCTGCAGGCAGAAAAAGCGCCAGGCACACGCTTTAATTTCTATTTTTTTTGTTTGTAAATTCCTAGAGAACCTGCTGGAAAAAGGAGTGTTTCCGATCTTCGGAAAATTACAAGACCTCAAATGTTTCAATTTTGAATGAGTTTCCGGCAGGTACAGTACAAAAAAATATTTTTGAAAGCCTCCGGAAATTCCCAACGGAGCTTTGAAGAACACTTTCTGGGATTTTCCAATTTATTATTTACAGTGCACACGTTCAAACGAATTTGACACAGATGTGCGACGAACGCAACTCCTTCGAGTTGAAATGAAAGTTACGTCACAGTGTCCGAATTGGTCCGCACGACTTTGTGCGATTCTGCGTACAAATTTGTACGAAACAGTTTGCATGCTCAAGACTGAGTGAGACCACATACAAAATTGTACACATACATTTAGTGTGTAAAAACTAAAAAGTTTCTACCTACAAACTGTACCAACTAAAAAGTTTCTACCTACAAACTGTACAAACTAAAAAGTTCCTACCTACAAACTGTACAAACTAAAAAGTTTATACCTACAAACTAAAGTTCATACCTTACAAGTGCCCGAAGTACTACGTAAAGTGTTAGATGTGTGGGACCCACCTGAATGTTCTGAAGCTGCAGCCTGCGTAGTTTCGGCAGCAGCCCCGCGGCCAGCCCGTCCAGCACGGTGCTGGGCACGCGCACATCGGTCAGCCAGAGCACCTCCAGGTGAATCAGGCGCAGGTCCAACATGGCCGCCAGGTCCCGCGGCACGTCCGGGGCGCGATTCGACATGTGGTCCATGGTCGGCTGGTCGCTGGTGGAGTCGAAGGCCAGCCAGAGGCACGTGAGCAGCGGAAAGGAGTCAGCCACCATTTCCACCAGGCCTCGATGAGCCTGAAGACATGTGTCATGTGTGTCAAATCAGCTGGGCTTCCATCTTCAAAAGTGCACACTCGAAAAAGTCTGCGAAGCATTTAACTAGTACGAGGAAAATGAAGGCATTTTAGAATTGCTTTTGATTATGGAGAGAGGATTCGTATTACGAAGGATTTCGCTTTAATAAACAAAGCATTTCTTCGTAGATTTTACAATGCCCTTGTTTCATCCCTTGTTCCGAGGCGATGCTCCGTCGACTTTTATACTGTGCATAGCGCCAAATTTGAGCGACTGCTCCACGCGTTATAATGCCGAAGCCTAGATAATATTGTGTCATTGGCCAGTGTAACTGTTTCTATACAGCATAGAACGTTCACAAACACAATTTAACAGTTACTGAGTGAAACTAAGATCAACTTCCACATCGCGCTCACAAAGATTTTGAGACATCTTAGTTTTACCAAGTTATACCAAACTTCTGAACCAGTGCTTCGGGAGATTGCATGAGTTTAGGGTGAGCATGGACCAAGTTAGTCCCACGCTTCTTAGCGGGGAACTGTTTGCACTTGCACTCATACAAACTTGCGCTGCACTGGTTCAGAAATCTCGAAGGATTTGGCTGCATTGTAAGCTGCGAAGAATTTGCTACGTCACGCGAAGAAACTCAGTCCGCATTACTAACAAATTCGTTCGCAACGTTATGAACTAAATGTCCGCAACTTTGCAAACAAATTTAATGCGAGCCAAACGAGAGCCAAATTTATTTGCAATACAAACTAAATTCTTCACAACTTGCAGCCAATGTGCAGCCAAGTTCTTCGCAAGGTTTTAACAGTAAAGGTGCTCCCACAATGCCAACATCACATCACATTACATCACAACACATCACTGCATTTATGCTTATATTCAATATAAAAAGCACAACTCTGTCAAAAAAAATTATTAGTTTCTTCGCGAAAGTCACTATTTATTGATGGAGTGTGACAATAATACCTCATCCCCTTCCGTGTGTTAGTGATGTGATGATGTGATGTGATGTGATGTGGCCTTTGTGGGAGCACCTTAACAGTGTGGATTTGCAGTGCGACCCTACACTGTGATTCCAAACGGTATGAACAAAGCACGTGAAGTGCAATGCATTAATGAGACGTCGCACCGTTCGTGCAATGCCATAGCCACATCGCACCGTACGTGCAATGCAACAGCCACATCGCACCTTGCGATGCGTCCCGATGATGCCCTATCCTAATGCATGGGAAGGCATTGCACTTCACGTGCGACGCAAAAGCATTGCACCAACTAGTGCGATAAAAACGGACTCAAACGCATCGCACCAAATGACGCTGCTACACCGTTAAGAGAGGTTGTTTTACCACAACAACACAATCACTAACCTAAACAACGCTCTTGTTCATGAACTAGTTTTTTTTTGTTTGAAAGCGATGAATTTGCTGCTAATTTTTTTCTGACTTATGCTGTTTGCAAACAACCTTTAAATGTTTATACACAACCCGGTCAACTTAAGAAGTGACTACTGTGGCTCACTGGGAGTGTTACTTCATTGGCAGTCAAATTTAATGCTCAAGAATGGCAACTGGTTTACAAACTTTTTGTTGACGAACAAAACTCAAGTCCTCAATCAGTTAACAACTTTGGTCCCAAAAAAAATTAGAAACATATTTACTGCTTAGTTAAAACAATATTTTTAACAGTGCTCTCATAGCCTTTGGGGATTCTCAGTGCACTACAAACCTAATTGTCTACTAAGTACACACTTGCAAATGCATACTTGACAAGTACACACTAACAAACGCATATGCGTAGCATGGAGTTATACGGCACCAGGCACTTGCTAAGTATGCATTTGTAAGTGTGTAGTACTTGGCCAAGTATGCGTTTGGAAGTGTGTACTTGCAAGCATGCATTTTTAAGAGTGTACTTTGTAGTAGACAGTTAGATTTGAAGTGTGTACCTGGAAGGCGAGCGTCACACTCAAAGTGTTGATGTTGCGCGCCAGCGGGAAGGCCGCCAGTGCCCTCCGCACTTCGGCGTGCTTCTCCGTGCCCAGGTCGATGAGGTGCAGCGCGGTGAGGTCGGTGAAGTCGTTCAGGAGGCCGCGCACCAGCCAGCGGGCCGGCACCTCCACCGTCCGGAGAAGCGCGCAGCGGCGCAGCGCCGGCACCACACCCGTCTCGGGCTCAAGGAACGCCCACCTGCAGAAGTCCAGCAGGCGCGACTGGACCTGGAAAATGGTGACGGTGTCCTCGCAAGGCCGCAGCAGCTCCAGCACCACCTCCCCTGTAAAGAGCGACGCGTTTCAATTTCCTGACAATTCCCCGAAGGGAAAACAATTTGAATTAAGGAGTACGTTTTCCCTGGAAAGAACGAAGAAAACGCGTTGAAACAACGTGAACACACTAAATTACTATGTACTTTTTTGTGCATAAGCTTCGCACGAAATTAAACATGCGTTTCGATACGCACGAATTTGTGCGTAACTAAGACCGAAAGTGTGCGTTGTTGCGCATAAAATTCGTGCGTATTGAAACGCATGTTTAATTTTGTGCGAAGCTATGCACAAAAAAGTACATAGTAATTTAGTGTGTAAGGAGTACGTTTTCCCTGGAAAGAACGAAGAAAACGCGTTGAAACAACGTGAAGGAACGTGCGATTAAGTGACATAATTTGAATTAAAAATAACGTGAGTAATTGGAATTTTAGAAAAAAAAAACAACAAAAAAACGGTGTCGAAAACTTTTTGAAGTTGTTGGCTCCTCACAATTTCGAAACACACAAAACTACAACTTTCAAGTTTTCAGTGCATAGCTTCGCGCGAAATCGAGCAAACGTTTCTTTCTTTGAAAAAGCACGAATTCGTGCGCAGATGAAGCACGAAAACGTGCGTTGTTGCGCACGAATTCAAGCATTTCACGCGTATGCTCAATTTCGTGCATAGCTGTGCACAGGAAAATCTACATTGTAAATTTGAGTGAACACGATGAGTGTGAACAGACACGTTGTCCAAGATTATGGACGCAGTCCGCGCACCTCTGTCTCCCCCTTGCCTCTGTCGAGGGGGAATCGACGTGAAGTTCTGTCCCCATTTTCATTATCCTCTGCACTGACCCTCCTAAAATACGCAGTGAAAACGTCACCAGGCAGTCCTGGGACATTTAACACAACCAGGGCAACGCTTGAACCACTTCGACGAGTTGGGCTCAAAACCTTAGGATGGAGGGACAAACCAAGAATAGTTCCAGTCACCGAGGTCGTCAAGTTCCCCTGGGATCCCAAGGCAACGTTTTCACCATTTAGGCTGCGCGGTGTTACCGCTATGGAGAAAGTTCTGACTAAAGTACTATAGAGCATCAAAGTTAGGATATTGTAAAGTGAAACAAATGGCTCTTTAACATTTTTCAATACTGCACTTGAGTCAGAAGTCTCAATTCATGGGTAAAAGTAGTTCCTTTCCATTGCATTAACTCATGACCTCTTCTTAGTTTCTGAGTTGTGGATGTTAACATTAACTTATAGTTGTTTCCAAAATTCTTCTCACGACAAGAGAAAGGTACCCAGCCTTTATTTTCTGAAACTTATATCTCATTTGACATTGGACAAAGATAGCGTTGCCCTTTTCAAAAAAGTAATTATGGCAAAATATGGCAGAATCTCTCAAATTGAAAGAAAATAAAAACATGCCTTGTAAAAAATATTTTACAGCCTATACCGGGCTCCCCTTTCCAAATGTGGCATCACTTCCTTTATCTTTTTTCTTTGGAGGTTCAATTGCCAGAATCTGAAGATTGGGTTCCTTTTCTTTGTCGTGAGGAGAATTTGAGAGAAACGCCTTAAAGTTCACATAAACCTCCACAACTCAGAAACTAATAGGTGTTGGGGCCTCCTACTTTGGGAATAAATTCATCTAATAGTGATTGAATTTCAATCACAAAATGAACTCCCTGTCACAAATATTTCTAGGACATCGAAATTTTACTTTAAACAAACAGGGTTCCCACAAATTTCTCTCGAGTACTTTCCGTGACTTCCAGGACCAACATTCAAAACTTCCATGACCATTTCCACACAAGAAACCTTTGAAATTCGTTTGGATTTCTAAAGGTCATTGAGATGTTAAGATTTTCTCATTTTTACTAACTATGAAGTTCCCTGACTTTTCCATGACTTCGACGACCAAAATTATTTTCCATGACTTTCGCTGACTGTCCAGGTGGGGACTTGTGGGAACCCTGCTCCAAATAGATAGGTCCCCGGTGAATGTTGCCTGCACACTACTGCACACAAATGTTGTTGTGTAGATTTTGCACGAGACGTCACAGTATTTTGAGCAGATGAACTTCTCGTACAAATTGGAACGCAATTTTTAACAAAATAAAGGAAAAATGTTCGGCCTTTCGTATGAGAATCTTGCAAAAAGTTCACGCGTACAAAAAACTGTAACGTCTCGTACAAAATTGTACACAACATTCAGTGTGTGGGCAGGCGGTTGATCCTCCATACCGGTGACGTTGGAGCCCACGAGCAAGTAGTCCACGCCCTTGGCCGAGCCGGCCGCGTCGTACGTCCTGACCACGGCACCGCCCAGGCGCAGCTCCCGCAGCCCCAGCCCGTCGATGAAGTGCAGCGTGGCGACGTCGTCGATCCGCGGCAACTGCAGCACCTGCAGAATCACAGGGGCATTCCATGACTACGGGGCCACTTTCGTAGGTGACCATCTCCGATCTTGATGCAATTTGGGTCACTTATAGTACCCCCCAAGAAAGAATTTTGTGCAAAATCTCAGTCGGATCGGACGAAAACTTCCGGAGATATCGAGGTTTTGTGTTTTTTCAAAAATCACCTAAAATCTATTCAGGAAAATGACATGATATTACGTTTTGCATCGTGCCATCGTTAATATTTGAGCTACAGCAAAACACAGGGGTTCGTTGGAAGCGCAAAAGAATGGGGAATCAGAATATGTGATTGGACTTGAGATTCGAGTGCCCTACACTATGAAAATCTTGACAAATACAAAAAAACCCTAATTTTTTTTGCCAATGTTTAAGGCTCTGGGTAACGGACACCCACATCCAGAAAGTCAAATCTGAATAGCGCAAAATGTAGCCCAAACCTTTAACTTTCGATTGCTATGTTGAAAAAAGGTGGGTATGGGGGTCGTTTAGGCTGTGCAGCTTCTCGAAAGTGGAGATGCACACTCGAAAAACGTGAAAAAAATTAGCTAATTTTTCGTCCGAGCCTTGCTGTTCTGCTATCCATGGTCACTCCCTCTTCAGTCATACCTCATTTTAAAGCGTTTTTTCTTTGCGAATCCAAAACTCCCTTGGAATGAGATCCGAGGCACCAGAAAGGCTGTGGAGCCGATTTAGTGAAAGCACAACATTTTCTCAAGGAACATTTTTCAGGAAAAAATGGCTATTTTCAACGCCATAAAGAGGACTGTTAGACAACTCGTATCAGAGCTCCCGAGGCGTCATTCTACTCAGAAAAATGTCCTCTTTCCATAGAAAAAAAAAAATTTTGGGTATTTGCATCCTCACCTACTAAATTGGGTTTTTATTGAAAAAAGAGCATTTTTGGAGGATTCGGCTTGCGTCGGACTGAGCCCCAGCCAACAGATTACGTACTGCGAGTTCGCCCTGGACCACCAGGACATGCAACCAGCATGTTTTTCGGAAAATATTGGTTAACCGCCGTCTTATGCACCCTTGGGAAACCGCCCGCCCCGCCCTGCCCCCCCCCGCCCCCCCCCGGGTGCGGGGCTCTCTCTTTTCCAGTCTTGAGCGCCTGTGGAGCAGGGGGTAGGCTATGCACCCTTCGGAACCGCCCCGCCCCACCCCACCCCCCCCACCTCGCCCCACCCCCCCCGCCCCCCGCCCCCCCCCGCCCCGGGCGGGGCGACGGGGCCCCTCTCTTTTCCAGGTTTTAGCGCCTGTGAAGAAAAGGGAGGCTACCCTGCACGACAGGGGTCAAAGGGGGTTGCCGCGTCTTCGCGGCCGGTCTGAAAGGGCCAGCCTGGCGAACCTCCTCGCTCTCTCTTGCACTCCTGGAAGGCCGGGGTTGCAAGAGAGAAGGGCGAAGAGTGCTGGCTGTTGACACGCAAGGCTGAAGGACACGGCGCGGGGGAACGGGATGGGGGTGGGGGAAGGACAGGGGATCTGAATAGGGATTTAATTAGAGTTCAAAATTTTATGGCTGAATGAAGTTTATTTTTTCATTTCACTCCCGACAAAAATTAGCGGAACGCTTTTGTCATCGTAATATTTTCTAAGTCTTTCGAGCTAGGAAGCTGAAATTTTGTACACGGTGCCCCTACTATTTCCTCGAGGCCTGCGAAGTGCGTAGCCCGTGCGCCTCCCCAACGGACGGCACCCCCCCTAGTGCGCGAGGGTGAAAAAACGATGAAAACGTGCGTAAAAACCAACTTTACCTTATCGCAGAGGCCAAAGTTTTCGTGTACGAGGTCAAATGAGTCTCCTCTTTCCAACGATGCAAGCGGAATTCAATTTAAACCCAACCCCCCCCCGCTGCACTCACCCCCACCCCCTCGAGGGGTGGATTTCGAGCATGTTTGAATTTCGCGCAAAACAGCGTCGGGGCGCCCCCCGTACCAAGCAACCATGTTTTTTCGACTTTCCCAACCACCCCCGGGTGAATCACCCCCCGGAAAGCCCAAACCCCCCTTTCGACACCGGCCGTCCGGGGCCTTTCGGTTTGAGCAAAATGCAAAAAAACTCCGGGGGGCATTCCTCCAGGTCCAAGAAGACGTCTCAGGGAAACGCGCTGCCGGACGACTGCAACCCCTGCGGTCGGGGTGTTCACCCCCTTGCACCCCTGCACGCCCCGGAGGGGTTGGAAGCCCTCCGACGAGCGGGCTGGTCGAACATGACATGGGGGAAGCGATCCTGAAGTTTTCAAGACGATCCCACCAACCGTTCGTCTTCCAGGGGAAAAAAGCGTCATTTCCAGTAAAAACCCCCCCTCACTTCCCCCCTTCCAGCGACCCCTGAGTGGGGGTAGCATCCCAATCAACGTCACAACACTCGGCCCAGACCTCATTTCAAAGGCCTCCAGTTTCGACTGATGCGACAAAGCATGGGACCGTGGGAGCGCGCAACGATGTGCCTGCACTCGGCAGCAACGGACGCCTGGCCCTGGGGTCCATGCGCCGTGCAGGTAGGCAAGCCAACTCACCTGGCGCCAGGTTGATTAAAAGCCATTTGGAAGCCTGTTTATGGCTCGCGCGTCACCCCTTCAGCATTTTTGGCAGGGCATGTCTCCCAACATGCCACAGTGGCTAACCAGCCAAAATCAGGCTTCCAAATGGCTTTTAATAAACCTGGCCCCGGTGAGTTGGCTTGCCTACCTGCACGGCGCATGACCCGACGGGCCGGCCGTCCGTTGCTGCCATGCAGGCACATCGTTTCGTCGCTCCCACGGTCCCATGCTTTGTCGCATCAGTCTGAAACTTGGAGGCCTTTGAAATGAGGTCTGGGCCGAGTGTTGTGACGTTGATTGGGACTGCTACCCCCCCTCAGTGAGTCGCTGGAAGGGGTGAAGTGAGGGGTGGTTTTTACTGGAAATGACGCTTTTTTTGCTCTGGAAGACGAACGGTTGGTGGGATCGTCTTGAAAACTTCAGGATCGCTTCCCCCATGTCTGTTCGACCAGCCCGCTCGTCGGAGGGGTTCCAACCCCTCCAGGGCGTGCAGGGGTGCAAGGGGGTGAACACCCCGACCGCAGGGGTTGCAGTCGTCCGGCACGCGTTTCTTCGCTGAGACGTCTTCTTGGACCTGGGGGAATGCCCCCGGAGTTTTTTGCATTTTGCTCAAACCGAAAGGCCCCCGGGCGGCCGGTGTTTGAAAGGGGGGTTTGGGCTTTCCGGGGGGTGATTCACCCGGGGGTGGTTGGAACGTCGAAAAAACATGGTTTCTTGGGACGGGGACGCCCCGACGCTGTTTTGCGCGAAATTCAAACATGCTCGAAATCCACCCCCCGAGGGGGGGGGGGTGAGGCAGCGGGGGGTTTTGGGTTTAAATTGAATTCCGCTTGCATCGTTGGAAAGAGGAGACTCATTTGACCTCGTACACGAAAACTTTGGCCTCTGCGATAAGGGAAAGTTGGTTTTTACGGCACTTTTCATCGTTTTTTTCACCCTCGCGCACTTAGGGGTGGGTGCCGTCCGTTAGGGGAGGCGCACGGGCTACGCACTTCGCAGGCCTCGAGGGAAGTAGTAGGGGCACCCGTGCAAAAATTTTAGCTTCCTAGCTCGAAAGACTTAGAAAAAATTACGATGACAAAAAGCGTTCCGCTAATTTTTGTCGGGAGTGTACTTTTTAGCCCGCAGGACTTTACGCCGTTGTTCGGCAAGATGTTTAAACCCCAAAACTTCTAATTTTAGAGCTCATAAATTTTTGTCCTGTTTTTTAAAAACGAACTACACCGAGCAATGCGGGAAGGAGCTACATAGCTCTCCAAACCCCAATCCAAGTCAGGGGGTTGAAGGGAAATTTGGGGGGTGGAGAATGGAGATGTCAGCCTCCCTTTCTTCCGGATTTAAGTCCATCACCACCCTACATAAATTTTAGAGTCAAGAAGGAAAGGGCCCCAAATGTGTTTTCTTGCCAATCCTCATCCTCTGTGGCCTGAACAAAAATTGGGTGGACGAGGGAGTACTCTGCATCATTGCTCACTCGTTTGCAACCAATTGATGAGTCTGAAAATTAAAATTTTTTCTTTTAGTTTTTTTTTTTTCGCTGTCAAAAAAAGAGAAGAACATAAATGATTAGTTGGCATTATGTTCTTACCTGAGAGAGGAAAAAAATGATGGAATGATCGGGTTCCTGGGATGGTAATGGGAGTTAAAATACTTTCCTTGGCTGCCATTCGTCTCTGTTTCACCTCTTCTATTGTTATGAAGAAAAACTTAATTGTGTCCTTTAAAGTTGAATTTTCACAGTATTCAAAAAGTTTGTCAGCATTAACTATTTGGTTGATTCCAAGACGCCGCAAGCTTTCCAGAGTAGCCATTCTCTTCACCAACCCACCAATGCCATCACATGCCGACTTTCCATGACTTGTCGCAAAAAAGCACCAAGATGCCTTTAAACCATACAGCTCTTGATGCCTGCAGTCAAAAAAGAAAGTATGGTAAGCATTCAGATTTTATTGCAGAAATACATATGTTGAAAAAAAAATGACTTACTTGCAGAGATTGAGAAAACTTTTGCAGTTCTTATACTGAGCAGCACATCCATCTGTCATGTACATAATCTCATCAATTGAGACAAATTTTCTTTGATCCATTTGATAATCTTTTCTTGAATTTCTTGGACCATGCAAACATCATGATCTACATCAGGACAAATAAAGCAGAAGCTTTTGTGTTCAAGAGTGTTGTCTTGTCCTTTAAAATAAATCACTACGGGATGTACTGTACATTGTTTCTTTGACCAATGGTAGCTTTGTGTTGCATCTTGAAGTAAACAGCTATAATTCATACTAAAGTCCATCAATACAATTGCCTCTGTAGAACTTAAATTTTCTTTTGTTTTCTTTAAAACTCAGACTGTTGTCGGCTGATATAATCATGAGGTATAACTTTCCTCAAGTCTTTTGACATTTGAGTAATTAGATCTTCAATCGTGCTGCTTCTTGCTAGTAATTCAGACCTGTCTGTTGATGTCCATTCTGAGTATTCAACATCTTGATGTAAGATATAATCACGTGGCTCATTCTCATTGTCATCTTCTGTCCTCGTACTGTTCCATAATGCAAGTACCTTAGATCTTAATTTATTAGCCACATCAGCTGATTTAGTGCAATTCGGACACAGAGCCAGCATACATTCTCTTGTTGGACGAGCACACATAAATTCAGGAATCAAATCATCTAGCTCTTCATCAAGTTGAAGAGCTTGCAGTTTTAATTTCAAATTCTGGTGCAAAGCACACACACACACATTGTGTGTTCCAGAAGATCCAGCCAATACACAAAATTTTGGACGCAGTGTGCAAAACATTGAGAACCCTATTTTCAGATTTGGGTGCTTCTCCTCTGGGTACTCATTTTTAAACTTGACGTAAAGTTCTCTGAGAGTGCAGAGTACTAATCGCTTTTGTTCATGCCGTCCCTTTCCCATGCTCACACAATCCTTTTTGCCTGGCATAATCCTTGAGTTGTCGTCATGGCAATAAAATGCCACCACTGCATTCTTTGCCTCTTCACACAATGTGGCACCTTTTCGAGGAGTTGGTTTAGCGAGTATGCCTTCTTCATCCTTGAGTGCTTTCGCTTTCTGAATGGATTTTCTTGACACTTTAAAAAAATCACTAGCATAACGCAAGGACCACGATGGTGGGCACAAAGTCAGAAGCTGTATCACGGTAGGGCCATCAACTTGAGGAATTTTTTCTTTCACAGCATTCATTAAAAAATCTAAATCCTGTAATGCAGTCACTGATTTATTTTGCAGTGAAGACTCATCAATACCAACGGAAACACAGATTTTCTTTTTCAGAACTGCCTCTGCTTCTTCCAACTTTCTCTTAACATAATTCACTTTTCCATAATACGTGTAATTAGGCGGCTCTAGAGGTGGTAAACCAAGGTGTGCCAGAATCGTTTTGGATTCTTCTTTAGTAACCGTTGGGGAAAATCCTTGAGAAGTGGCTTGATTTTCATCAACATCTTGTGATGAAGCTGGTGTTACTGTCTCATCATCGTCTTCTCTCATTTTGGCTGCTTCATCATCGATTCTTTTCCGGCAGTTATCACAAAGAGGATCACCTACACCAATAGAGACACCAAGTTTGTGAGCCTTCACTACACTGATTGCGTTCGCATTCCTCAGTCCAGTTTTTACTGTTTTCAAATGTTTATCGAATGGGTCACAGCAATAGCCTTGCTGAGCCGACCCTCTTGGAGAAATAGCGAAGCCAATAAATTCTTCATAATGAGAGTTGCACACAGTGGCTGTTTTGGGCATCTCAATCCATAAGTTGCTGGACCACAATATTGCATGCAACTCGGCTTCTGGCAGCTCCATCATAGGGACAGGAAGACCATCACATTGAGCTTGTAGTTCAACCCCAAATGTACATTTCTGAGGGAGCTCTACAATAACAAAAAAAATACATTACTAAACAATAACTGATGTCAATACAATGTGAATTAAAAAAATTAACAAACCTGGTGCAACCGGTTCCTTTTGCTCCTTTGATTGGTTGGGTTCTAAAAAAGCGAAAACAAAAAAAAACAACACTAAACTCAACTATCCACCAAGACATCAAAATTGACACTTAAACAGTAAAGCGAATCATTCACCATTCACAGCATGACTTGGCCCAGCTTCACCGGTAGGTGCAACAAGTAGGTTAGGAGAGGCCTTTCGGCAATTGTCACACCATTAAGCACCCAGGAAAGGCACCAAACGCGCGTTCGCATCGCAATTCGCTTGTGTAATTTGCCGCAGTCCAGTTGTGACTTTCTTG